TTGTCATAAACATGTATGTTGTCACGATGGCGTGACGCTGTATTTCTCCATGAAGTTTCCATCGGTTGCCCCAAAGAAGACGAGAAATGGACATTTTTCGATTTATCAGCAGATTTCCGCGCATTCTAAATAAAAATAACCAAAAAAAAGAAGACAACCTCGATTGAACGCTGGTTAACCCTGAGAATCTGAGAGCAGAAATCGTAACTTGTCAGCGGTAGTAGATCATGTAAAACCCAGTCGCCACAATAGCAATTTGTACGACTCGCGCGAAAATCATCACAAAGTGGAGATTTTGAACTACTCAGTATCCCTGCAGTACAGCAAACGGAAAAGGGATTTCATCCCTATCAATTTCCAAAAATTTAGCTTTTTCCAGGGAGCCTTTCACGTGCTCGAACGTTATATTGACTTTGAACTTTGAGATTTATTTCCCCTGACAATAAAATGCTATAGAAAGTGCTTACAAAATTACAAAGGAACTATTTTTGGTGTCACTTGGACCGAGAAATACAGATTTGAAATAATTAATGCTGTCACTGATGAACAAAAGGGCACAATCTTCTCAGTTGTTAGCTTGATAATCTCCACAGACTAACGTTATTGGACCGAACGATCTCCTTTTTCTTCCTGGTGAGCCGGCCACCTCAGGGGAAAATTAAAGAGACCTTTGACTTCCTCTCGTGTAAATCACTGGGAGATTGCGTTATATTCATCTTTCTTTAAGCTTGTAAAAGATATCCGGGAGAAAAGTATGGAAAATAATGGTGATGAAATCGCTGTTCTTTTTCCTGAAGGACATGAAGCAATCCAGATTACATATTAACCATGGGGAGTTTCGTTCAAGTGACAAGTTGCGATTTACGTGTGGATAATAAGTTGTTTGAAAGGTGGAATTATGACATCATGATTTCATTAAATCTTTTATTTCGAACTTTGTTATGATTTTTTCTTTATCAAGACATCGAAGGAAACATTAATTGACTCGGTTGCACCACGGCGGTGATAAGTCTCTCCTCATCATATCTTATGCAAATTTTCTAACAGTTTTACGAAAACTTTCAGATGATTCGAAATATCTTAGTTCCTGTCACAAGGAAATGATAACTGCCCGAATCGGCTCTTTGTAAGGAGATGCCTATGTCGTTCATATTGCTACTGTTGCAACTGGGTTTTACATGTAGTACTGCCGCTGACAAGTTACGATTTATACTCTCAGATTGTCGGTGTCTACGAGCGTTCAATAGAAGTTTTCCTCTTTTTTTTTTGGTTGTTTTTACTTCAGAAAGCGGAAATCTGTTGACATATCTGAAAAATATCCATTTCTCGTCTTCTTTGGATCGACCGATGGAAACTTCACGGAGAAATACAGCGTCACGCCATCGTGATAACGTACATATTTATGACAACTGACCGGTGTGAGGATAGTCTCATGTAGGTCAGCTTACTTCAACATGTTTCAAATGACATACAAGTAGAACAGTGTATCATCACAGGATTTCGGATTGCTTAAATTCCCATGAAAGAAGTAGCAGCACTCGGAATCTGGATGATATGCACACGATTTGAGGTATATATATGTAGTTACGTCGAGTAGTCCTCCATGAAGGTTGATCAATTTTTTTTAAAAGATGACAACCAGAGGCGAGATTTCTCTTCGGGATATTGCTCATAAGATAACATTCTTTCAAAGCCTCGCACGTTTCATTTGTCTGAAACGTTTGTTGTTGAGAACATTAGATGTAAACATCGCCAAATTGTGCAATATCTGATTTTGAGCTTTTTTCGCGGATTGCCCCTATAAAAAGTAGAGGCAGGCCCGCGAGATTTTTACATATTTAAAAACTAGAATACTATAACCAGCTAGGTGGGTAATTTCAGTTCCAGAATCGGCGTACTTTTGGAGAAATTCAGATAAACGTTTTCCCTGTTTTACTCGACAACAAAAATGACTGAAACTGTACCGAGATAAATAATCTATTAGTGTATTCACATTCATTCCCAGGGAGAATTGAATATATCAAATTGAAGATGAATGATGTTACTATGTATGGTAGAAGTGCCAATTTGTAATGTTGTATTTAGCTTGAGATAGAGAAATAAACATTTCACTCTTTTTTTGTGACGTTTTTGTATGAAAATGAGGCCCCAGGCCTCGAACAAGCAACCGTTATTACCATGGCAACAAGAGTGCTGCAACTTCTAAAAAGGGCATTTTTGTGCATCCCCCCTGAGTGCCAAACTGCATGCAAAATTTGAAGGGGGGTTGAAAATTTTCATTTCCCAAGATGTTTGATTCTTACAGAGACTTGTTCTCAACAATCAAGAGTGTCTGTTGGTGATCATTTCATTTATTCCCATGACTTTGAAGTTTTATTTAGCAATATTACTGTAAAGATAAAATAGATAAAAGTTTCTGCTAGGGGTTAGGGGGTCAACAAGCTTGAACTAAAAAAAAATTGGGTAAATTTAGAAAGAAACTGTGGTGTTGCATCAGTGGGAGAGTATAATAGGGTAATTTGGTGTTATCAACTGGGTTGATTATATAAATTGGCCACCGTAAAGAGTGTCAAAGCTGATAATTTTGAGTGTTAGACCTTCATCATTTGCTATGACGAAGGGCTAACACTCATATCATCAGCTTTTAAATTCTTTACGGTGGCCAATTTAGGTTTTTAACTGAGTTAATATTACTAAATTACCATGAAATAAAATACTTCCTTATGTATTATTTTGTTTTTTTATGATGGTGATGTTATGAGTATTGTGCCCTGATATGATTTTCATTCTACTAGCATTCAATTTCCATGAGAACAATGTTCTCTTTTAAACTTAAAAGTTTTGAAAGTGATCTTGATGCTTTAGTTTAGCTTTATGTCATACAGTGATAGGTTCAATTCAATTTAGTTCACCAATCAGATTTAAAGCTCAAACCAGTCATGACTTGGTCACTCCCATTTTCCTGCACTCCAATCAGTTTGCATCTCTTTTCTTTTAGTTCCTTGTGAGCTAACAGTGATACTTTCCTTTCTATTGAATTGCTTGTGTGATTACTTTAGTTTTGGTTTCATGACACTCGGTCGAAAAGCGCTCCGTCATTACCTAAAATCATTGAAGGGAAACAGTTTGTAAATTGCTTTTGATAATTTGGTTTTAAGTCAAGAAAACAACTTTTACCTGATAAGTTTACATTTTCTCATTACCTGTCTGGATATTCTGTTTCTTATTAATGGGAGGTAAAAGAGTTAATTAACTCCTTAACTCCCAGATCGAATTTGTAATTCTCCTTACTGTCAATCATACAATTTTTATAATGTTGGTTCAGAGAATTTAATATTGGAGCAACTAATTATCCCCAAATTGATATTTTTCTTTATTCTCATCACTTATCTGGTTGATATTGCATTAATATTGTAAGGAGAAATTCTTTCTTGGTCACTCATGGGAGTTAAAGGGTTAGTGAGTGATATACATCCTTTAACCAGACGTTCCTTGAAATGACATACTTTTTAACGATTAACTTAAACGGTTATCTAACTCTCGTTAACTTTTACGATTATAAAATGTAGCGTTGTTCTGGAATCCGTAATGAGACGCATTATAAAATGTTCACTAAAAGCTCCATGAACCTCCTGCTTCGTTCCTCTGTCCTTATCGGATCCATAGCAGTATCTGAGCGGCTACGCACCATCCCTCCCCCCCGCGACCCAGCATCAACTCTAACTTGTAATCAGTTGACTGTTTTTGGGTTAAGGTAGGGGTAGGTGCGGAGATTCTCAGAAACTTACATTGATCTTCCTAATCAGTCAGTCAGCAAAGCGGTGTTCTCGTCTATAAACTCGTAATGAAATTTTATCAGGTAAAAAAATGAGCTTATCTTTCTTTTGAGGAATAACGCAAGACGGGCCAGTTGTGACAGAAGTGCAAAAAGGACAAGGAGAGCAGCCACCGCAGGAAATGAGCAGAGGAAGGCGACCAAGATCCATCGAAGCACCACCATAGCATGCTTGTTGGGTCCCTCGGGCTTGGTGGCAGAAGAAGAAAGAGTGGCCGCTGTAAGGTTGATTACAGCTATACAGGTTAACGAGATCAAGGACAACGCTCCGAGTTTGTCTGCAGTTGGGTGACGGAAGGGCTTCATGACAAGATGATGGACTAACATCAGATTACAGGCCACGGACAAGCAGACGAAGCAGATCATGGAATTTGGAATGAAGGCGCGGAATGTCAGAAGAACGAGCCGGCTGCCTATCAAAACACTTTCCCAGTAGAGAGTGCCGTTATCATTTTCACGTGGCGGGCGGAAGGGACCGTGCAATATCTCTAATATTTCGTCGCTGCATTCATGGCGCACTTGAGCTTTTCTGCGGTTCTGTCTGCTGCATACACTTTTGAGGAGCCAGCGAACGAGAAACGGAAGGGGAACAATGCAAGCGCCAACAAACTCTTTCCATGTAATTGTCTTGGCGTAGAGCAGACCAGAACCCCAATACAGAACGCCGACAAACGGGACCACAAATATAACAGTATATGCCAAGAGACCATACTGCCACCATTGCCAGCAAACGATGTTGCCATCGATGTTGAGGCGCCATTTGGAGCCGATGGGAACACAATGCATGAGCGTAAGAGATGTTTCTGCCAGACGCTCGTAGCCTAGCAACAAAATCTCTACTGCAACCGCGACGTAATGAGTAAATGATGGTCTTCCCTTTCCCATTACCAGATTCAGCGACCTGTGAAGACAGTAAACGATGAAAACTTGCGCAATAGCAGCAAAAACGAGGGAAGATAAGAACAGCTCTTTGGTCACTGCTGTGAGGCCGGCAAATGGGCAGCCGAGGTTTTCGTCCAAAACGTGGACTTGAAAGTTAAACGCGGCAACTAAGGTGGAAATATAGGGAACATTGGCCAATGTGTTCTCCAATGATTCAGTGAGAAGCAACTCTGCAACTTGGTAAAAATAAAAGACGATCCTCATATAACCATACTCCGGTTCTTCAGCTTTGTGCAGAGATGAACGTCCCTCCATCTCGAAAGGGGACTGTCGATCTGTTTTGAACCACAGAATTTGACGTTTCAAATACAGAACCAGCGGAGGCTTCTTCAATAGATAAATGGTAAACAAGTACGGTGTAAAGTCCCATAAGAATCCAAAGATAATTCCATCTGCATTTGTGGGATTGTCGACATTCTGACGAGAAAAGCGTTTCTGAGTATCCTGTGGCACATCTTCCACACAGGATACCAGACCTAAAGCCATGGCAACTGTTGTAATCATTACCGTGATATAAATCTTTGCGTTGAGGATGACAATACTCCCATGGACAAGGTACGAATTTTAAGGATGAAATGTTACTAACATTGGTGATTTTGTAGCCCCAGAAATTGGGCTTTGCCACAATGTTGTTGGGTCCACTGCAGTGGGCACCAAATGGACAGTTTTGACATCTGAAGCCTTTATTGACTTTTAGTCCTTTAGAGAAGCCACGTTGAAGACTGTACATTTTAGAGGAACACATTCTGCAACTTAATATCTCAGTTGTTAAATTTACTCGACAAAAGTGTCTGTCATCTCCTTCGTCGTAAATAAAATGAGAGAAATTGGAGAAGTAGAGTTGGCTGCCAACTGCACATTGGATTGTTGAGCTAGAATCCATCTCGAAGTAGCCTCCGGATGTTATTTGTATAACAGATCCCCGCTCGGACCTGTGTCCCATATCGGAGTGAAAAGAGGTGTTGAGTATTTTTATCGGGCCTCCACTCTCTGAACACAAAAATCTTCTGTAACGAAACGCAATCCCTTGGAATTCCTCTCCTAGCTTCGTACGTTTGAACACGCAACTGTTCAACTCAACTTTGGCGCTTCCGTGTCCAACATAAATCTGTCCTGTGTCACTCGCGGCAAAGTTGTTAATGAACTTGCATCTTCGAAATTTAACATAGCTATTGATGATCTGAACAGCTCCTGCCATGTGTCCAAGGTTATTTTGAAACGTAGTGTCCTCGAGCAAGACGTGACTGGAGTATTTCCATGTGCGATGGGTATCGTTTGTCACATCGTTATCGACACATCCTCTGTTCTCTATTTCATCCGTATCGAAAAAGAACATGAGTGCCCCTTGGCTGGTCCTATCAGTGACCTTGTGTTTGTAATATGTTCTCGTCCATTCGTCTATTTCAAGACCAAACCCTTCTTGAAACAAGCAACGGCGAATCTTGATCGTGTTGTTACCCTTGGAGAAGAACGCAAACGAATTGCTAGGTCTGCTTTTGAACGTCACATCTTCTATTTCAATTGCTGCTTGAGAAACATTTGTCCTCTCTAAACGAGGCATAATAAGACGAATACCATAAGTGGTCTTCACATGCCTCTGTACTTCTTTACCGTCAAACAGTGTGTTTCTCACCCGAAAGGCGATGTTAATGGTGTTGTTAAATAAACCATATATGTCGTGAGTGTTATTCTGGAATTTGCAGCCTTCGATAGTAACATTTAGATGAAAATTGTTTTTATTATACAGGTCCCAGGAGAAGATGCCCAAACCGTTCAGTGAAGAAGACATGGTTACGTTGACTAAAGCCAAGTCGAAATTAGGAGTTGTGCTTAGGGCCGTTTGATTATTTTTGACAAAAGACGTATTGGAAATTATGACAGTTCCAGAATGACTTTCGCTTCCCACAACTCGAAAGATTGCCGCAAACAATGTCCCATTCCCTAATTGGTATGCGGTGTTATTGTTAAAAGTGGATTCGTGGACTCTGACTAAAAGTGTTGCATTTTTTCTTGCAAAGATTGTTACACATCTAACCTGATCATTATCCTTGCACTGTAGACGATGAAATGTTACTTTGGCTTTCTTCACTATTGAATAGTAAAGGCTACGAGACTTCCTCTGGGAGATAACGAAGCTGTTCCGCTCAAGGACGACGTCACCGTACTTCTCTGACGTACTAGCTGTGGGGAGGTCGATCGCTAGAAATTGGCCGCCGCTGTCAGCTATCTTTACCTTTTCAACAACGATAGACAGATCAATCGTGCGAGAAATATTACTTGTTAATACAAGAGCACCCCTGTAAAATGATTCGAAATAATCTAAAATCCCATTGTTCAGGAATTTAGTGTCCTTGATATCTAAAGAGAATTTCAAGTCTGTGTCAGAGCCTCCAAGAAATTGTATTTTCACACAAAGAGAGTTGTTTTGAAAGAGAGAACCTCGAATGGTGACATTTGTTATTGAGCTAGCTGTAGTGTTAATAATGACAGCTTCAGTGGCGTTCTGATGGGTGCAGTTGATAAGCGTGATTTCAGAACAGTCTATAAATCTCAAGGGTGTTTCAAAGAATGTTATTCCAGTTAAAGTGACTCGTAGATCTTGGTCTGACCGATTAAAACAAAACCCTGTCAGGCATTGTATATGGGCTCGAGTAAAATTTAAACTTGTTATCGTTACGTTCCTTGTAATTTGCGGGATGCCACGATAATGCAACGTAAGTAGTTTCTGACAGTCGAACGGTTGCTGGTCTGTCCCGTTCCCATTAAGGACAATGGTTCCACCTGACACAACTCGCAATGCTGCCACTGCTATTGTTCGGCATGGTGCTTCCATGGCTCCGCATGCTTCCGTGTCATTTCCAAATAATGAAACCTGGACAATTTGTCGGTGTGGTACGAAACTATCTACAAACAAAGGTTGGTAATATATATTTATAAAAAGTCATCACATAGAGAGTAAGCACTGAATTAGACTTTTAAATAGTCGATTTGACATCCATCCCACGGTAAGGAGTTCTTATGGGTGAGAATTAAAAAACTAGACTAAATTTCAATCGACATTATTTGAGTTCTGTAAATACGTTGGACATCAGCTGGCTATAGGATAACCTGAAAGTAACCAAAACTTTAAGCTCTACCCTGAATAACCGCTGAACATGTTTGAACTGTTTTGCATTTTTCTTCCCCAACTCGGCAAAAAAAAAAGCGGAGAAGAACCAAAATGGATAGGAGAAAAGGAGACTTGATCTCACTTGATCTGACTCTATGATTGACCGATTAATATATGAAAAAGTACATTCTGAGAAGAATGAGCGGATGTCCTGTGCTTCCAACAAACAACCTGTTGTGTTTATCGAGATACCCATTGCAAGGTGCTTGTAAAACACGAAATTAACAACTCTTTTGCTTTGTTACTAGAACTCTTGGTTAAGACGATTGACATGTATGGGAATTCTAACTGATAAAAATTATATATGTTTTTTAGAATTTCAAGAGTGCTTTAGCGGAATTCCCTGAAACAAGCAGAAGCCCGAAATACCACCAGCTGCTGAGTAAATTTTCTTTTCGATTTTCAGTTTCTATTGCGAGGAAAACAGTGGAAGTGAAATTTGAGTTCCTATAGTTGCTTCCATGTTAAGGTCGTTGGCTAATTCACGCTGAATTCTTTGCGGCTAACTCGAGAACACGAACAGATACCGTCCCAACGGCTCAATTTCTGTAAAACAACTCGGATTACCACAGCGAAAACGAGGGTCTCTCGAAAAAACTGGGTACAAGTTACGATCGCTAATTTCCATAGACAGTTTGAACTTACTGCTTTCGCTACGTGTACACGGTTCTCTAGCTTCAATTTGTCTTTTTCCCTTGGATCCACGAAAAATAAAATATCTAGGCTCCCTAGATTCGACTGCAACCGTTCATTTACGGCTAGTCTGTAAGACTGAAGGAATGGGTTGAGTTTTTTTCTGTAATACTAAAGATCTGTGCGATGAAATTTCCGTTTCCTATACAGGTTCAAAACTTCATTGAGCCTATACCAACCATCGAAATTGAAATTCAAAGGGATCTTTTTAAAGTGCATTATAGAGTTAACTTTTTCTAAATTCGCATAATAAACTCTGAGGATGTCAGCGGAAAGGTTTCGAGATCACTGTTAGAAAATGGTTCCGTTTTATGTTGAAATTGCCTCATTTTGACGAACTGATGGTTTCCCTAAAATATGTGAACTTTAGAGATTCAAGGAAGGTGAATTAAAACAAATTGAGTTAAATTAACTTAATTGTGTTAAATTAATTTAATTACCATAATGTTCGATCAACGGATTCGTGGAAGATCCACTCAGATGAAAGGAAAAACCCTTACTACATATCACAAAATATTGCAACGAAATTTGAAATGAAATTTTGCAACCACATCGCTCTTCCACACTGCAAACGTTAACGATCATAGCATTTCCGTCGTAAGTCATTTTCAATACAAATGAGGTCATGCACATAAAAACTTACCTGTTAAAGCACAAAGGAAGATCACGATTGAGAGAAGACGATATGATAATGGCCAAAGGCTTGCCATCCAGAAATCAACTATATCTGAACTGCAACAGTCACTTATTTTCCACAGCCCAGCTTAAGCAGTGCTAACAACGAAATTAATTTTCAGCGCCAAAATATTTCATTTCCATTAGAAAATGAAATAATGTGGAACCTTCATTCAAGGGACATCCACGGAACGAGAAAAAGTGACCCCTGGATGGTGTTTTTTTTTCTAAGCTGCGACCGTATTGGTTAAAATTTTGGTGGTTCAACAAGTTTGCAGCACTAATTTAGTTACTGGTGAGCAGCAGTTATGTTGAACGTTGTAATGTTTTTTTAACTTGTGATCAAACTAAGATACGCGTCTTCGCATAACTTAATTCCCCGCAAACTAAGAATGACAACAAGATCGCCTTTCTCGACACGCTCGTAACAAGGGTACCAGACGGTAAACTACACACAAGTGTATATAGGAAGCTCACACACACTGACCAGTACCTTGTGTGTGATTCACACCATCCACAATCAGTAAAACGCGGTATTGTCAAATGTTTACATGACCGGGCTAAACGCATCATCACCAAGCCATCAGGAACAGCCCAGGAGAAGAAACATCTATCCACAGTTCTCGTCGCCAACGGCACCCTTCGCCTTTGTTACAGAAGGTGACTGAAACCAGGAATCCAGCACTAGAGAGGAAAACAGCAGAATTCAAGTCCACCGCAGTGCTGCCATACATCAAAGGAGTGGTCTTCAAGTCCGACAGCACACTAAGATCTCGGCTGATCAGACCAAAAGATCTCGCTCCCAAACAAGCCAGATGGCGCAGTCTACAAGATACCATGCACTCAGAATTCCACGGTTTCAGAACATGCAAACGGAACCGGACACAAGCAGCTGTGGAACGCAGTAAAGTTTATTGACCGAGACAACCAATGGTGCAGAAGGAAAGCGGAAGAGGCAGTTCACATAAGACTTAACTTAAACAACATAAACATGGATAACGGAGCCGATACTTCGATTTAAGACTGACGCAGTTTTCCACATTGACTTTTTTAAGTGAAGCGTAGAGAGCTTATTTTAATGGACTCGACTGCGGCTTGTGCGTTTTCCCAAGCAGAATAGCAGAATCGTCCGTGGTAGCAACACACTCAGTGAGGTATATGTGCGGTCTGCCATGGGCATACCAGGCTCTGAGACGGCCCTCGAAGAACTCATGAGCTGAGTGCTCAATGGTCTAATGAAGGAAGACATCGTGGCCAAAATCGCAAACGACCTGTATTGCGGCAGGAACTCCCCAGATGAACTACTGCTGAACTTGAAAAGAAAAAGTCTTAAAGTCTTACAAGCCCTGCGCAAATAAGATCTTCGCCTTTCCGCATCCAAAACGATCGTCAGCCCTCAGTCCACAACGATACTAATCTGGATATCGAACTCTGGCAGTTTAAGCGCCAGCCCACATCACATCGCTACTCTTGCCTCGTGCCCTGAACCTGGCACTGTAGCCCGAATGAGGTCATTCATCAGAGCTTTCAAGGTGCTCTCCTGCGTCATCCCTGGATGCTTTACACTATTCGCAAACCTTGACGACACTATCGCTGGCCGTGAATCTAAACAGACGATTCAGTGGACAGGTGACCTCCATGCGTCATTCCACAAGGCTCAGGTAGCCCTTTCCACCGCTTAAACCATCTCGTTCCCCATTCCGAGTGATTACCTGTGGATTGTTACAGACAGAGCACTCCGCAAACCCAGAATAGGCGCCATGCTTTACGTCACCCGTAATGACTTAAACTGCCGTAATGACAAGTTACGCCTGGCAGATTTTTTAGCGCCAAACTGCGAGGCTCACAATTAACGTGGTTACCATGTGAGATGGAGGTTCTAGTAATCGCCATTGCCACTAAACACTTCAGCCTTTACCTGATACAGTCCATTATAAGGCCTGCATATTGACCGACAGCAAATCTTGCGTACAGGCTTATGAAAAACTTTGCACTGTCTACCGTGAGCCGTTATCAGGCTTCTGTAAGATACGTATCTGGCTCTGCAATACTACCGTCAGATTTCTCCTCCGTGTAAGGATGAAGCCTGCCAGGTCTGTGTATTATCAAGGCTCACGGATTCTGCTATCAGACGCACGTTAATCCAAGACATACTCAGTAGCAATAAGCATCTTCCGTTCACTAGTCGCACTGCCTGGTTGGCCACACAGGCGGTAAGTCCCGATTTACGACGCATGCATATGCATCTACAACAGGGAACGCGTCCTTCGAAAAAGCTCACCAACATGAGAGATGTCAAAAGGTACCTCAATGTTGTAACCATCGCAAAGATTGGCTTACTCGTTGTTAAGGGATACGAGCCTCTCGCTCCCACCCGCGAATGCACTGTTGTCCCCCGGCAGGTACTAGAGGGACTCTTAACCGCGTTACCCATTCAGCTCAGTCACCCATTCAGTAATCAACTCAAGGCTGTCACAAAGCGCTATCTATGCCCTGGATATAAACAAGGCCATCGACCAAGTGACTAAAGCTTGCCACCAGTGTGCTGCCTTGCGTAAAACTCCGAAAGTGCGGGAGGAGCGGTCAACCTCCCTTCCACTGGATGCCGTTGGCGTTTCGTTCGCCGCAGACGTTATCAAACCATCGAGACAGCTCGTACTAGTGCTACGTGAATGCTTAACTTCTTTCACGGCCACGACTCTGTTAGAGGATGAGCGACACCACATCCAACGCGACGCTATTATCCGCCTATGTGCCCAACTGCGTCCACTAGATGGACCGTCAGCCGTCGTACGTACTGATCTTGCCCCAGGATTCAGGGCGCTAGCTGAAGATCAATAACTAAAGCATCACAGAATCACCACAGAGGTCGGAAATGCTCAGAATTCTCTATTGGAGAGGGTGGTTCAAGAGACCGAAAACGAGTTTCTCCGACCCGACCCACTGAAAGGCCCTGTGTCTTTGTGAAACTCGCACTACCCACAGCCAACCTCAACGCGCGCATCCGCTCATGTAGCCCTTCCTCTAGAGAGATGTGGACACAGCCAGATCAATTCTCAAACCAGCAAATACCTCTGCATGACCAAAAAATCATCGTTAAGCAGAACGAACATCGTATGGCCGACCACACCCACGGCGAGAAGGCGAAGGCCCCCATCTCGACACCTGCTACTCAAGAGATTCCTGATGTCAACCTGCCTACTGAACGATATGAGCCCTGCGAAGACACCCACCCGGATCCAGTTTTAAACTCCCCCACCACAGGCAATGACTCTGATACCTGTCCCTCGCATCGCAGATCCACACGCGTGCAACGCCGTCCCGCACGATATGATGACTTTGTTATGAAGTGTAACTGAGTTATGAACACCATGAACTCTAACTAAGATTTCGACTCCGAGTTATTGACTCCAACTATGTAACCCCCTACTTAATAGAACTCGATTAATTTTCTATATAATTCCTATATCCATTATTGTTAGCTATCTGCATCTAACTTGGTATTTGTCATGTGCCCATGGAGCTCGTCTACTAGTTTATAAAGTTCGAGGGTAAATGAAAAGGAAACCACGCCAGTACGGGACAGTGGTACGCTAGTTATAGGCATGCGTGGCCGCGCGCTTCGTTCTTATCCTTTAGTGTCTAGCCCGCTCGTTCTGTTATCGTCATACCAGTTTCATTAAAGCCTCAGTTGTGTTACGGATCGTGTCATCGATTTACTGCTACTTCATTAACTGGCGTTGAACATTTTTAACTCTTTAACCCTTAAGAGGAGTTAGCAGCCTATTTCTTCTTTCAGTATCGCTAAAGGTTATAAGGATAATAAAATTGACCTCTTATCGAAGGAGTCTATGACTGATACCCAAATTCTCCTTGTCTGTACTACAGGAAATGTATAGAGAACAGTATGGAGAATATGCTCTCTGGTGATATGGTATAAAAAGTCAAAGCGGGGGTCATATCTGTTTCGGGGGTTAATTCCTCTACTAAAGAAGACTGTTGTTTAAACATTTTATGGTGGCAATTTATTTCTTTACTCCCTCAGTTATAATGAAGAGAAAATTCACAGTATTGGGAAGATATGAATTTTATTTTTAAGCTAAAAATCTGCATTTTAAACAGGTGGTTTACTAACTCAATTACTGAATTTCCTTAAGCTTATTGATAACTGTTATTCAAAGTTATTCTCACTCTTTGATACTAGCTGCCTCTGTGTTTTTGGAGTCAGTTCATTACAGGTGTTCTTTAGTACACTGTACCATGTAAATTTTTTTTATTTATTGCTAACTTTAAGTGCTGTTTTGTAATACACCTGTTCCCAGTTCCAAAAAATGTGTGTCATGGTGAGGGTGAAAGAACCTTAAATGTAACGTGCGCAACAACTTACCAATCCACGGCGACCGTAAAGGCCAAAAGATGTTTTGTTGATATAATTTAAAAGCTAATTTTTACGCTAACCTTGAACCCAAAAAGTAAATAACATCTCATCTCTCCTTACTGTTTTCCCCTTGGATCAAACAAAGGTCAAGAGAAGAAAGGAAATGATCACTAACTTCAGAAGCTTAGGGTTAGGGGTAACAGTTTTTCCTGTCAACACTATTGGAAATGTACAAAGAAACGTGGAGATTATGCAAGGTTCTAAAGGGTTAGCCCGTAAATCCTTAACCCTTTAACTCCCATGAGTGACCAAGACAGATTTTCTCCTTACAATATCAACCAGTGATGAGAACTAAGAAAAATATCAATTTAGGGATAATTAGTGGATCCAATACTAAATTCTCTGCACTAACATCATGAGAATTGTATGGTTGACAGTAAGGAGAGTTAAAAATTTGATCTGGGAGTTAAAGGGTTAAACATCTTATGTCTCTTTACCATGTCACTGGTGAATCAAACATTAAGTTCATGAGAATCAAGGAAATGATCACCAATTTCAAAATGTATGGAGAGCTGTATGGAGAATATACATACTGATGTTAGGATATTAGGGGTTAAGGAATTTTAAGCCCAATTTTTACAGGAATAGTAAATGGCGTTTACTTACTTTCTTTGTAACCCATGCCTACTTTACACCCTAATATCAGAACACATATTCTCTATTCTGTACAATTTAAAAGATTCTGACAAGAAGAATTTGTTTGACAATCAAGAGCGTCATTTGATGATTGTTTCATTTATTCTCGTGAATGTGATGCTGCGTCGGTGTGAGAGTATAATGCGGTAATTTGGTATTATCAACTGAGTTGATGATGTAAATTGTCATTTGCTTTGACGAAGGGTCAACGCTCGAATCGTCAGCTGTGAAACTCCCAACGGTGGCCAGTTTAGGTTATCAACCGAGTTAATAATACTACATTACCTTGTAATAAAATACTTCCTACGATTACAAAATGCAGCGTTGTTCTCAGTGGAGTCTGAAATGAGACGCATTATAAAACGTTCACTAAAGGCTCCAGTAACCTCCCCCTTCCTTTCTTTGTCCTTGTCAGATCAATAGCAGTATCTGAACAACTACGCACCAGCCCCTCCCCTAACCTAACTTTTATTTCAAGTTGTTATCGGTTGACTGTTGTTGGGTTAGGGGAGGGGTGGGTGAGGAGTTTCCCACAAATTGACACTCCTTATCAGTCAGTCAGCAAAGCGGTTCTCTCGTCTAGAAACTCGTAATTAGATTTTCTCAGGCAAAAAAATGCGCATATCTTCCTTTTGAGGAACAGCACAAGACGGGCCAGTTGTGACAGAAGTGCGAAAAGGAAAAGGACAGCAACTATCGCAGGAAATAAGCAAAGTAAAGTGATCAGGATCCACCGAAGTACCACCATAACATGCTTGTCGGGTCCCTCAGGCTCGGTGGCAGAAGAGGAAAGAGTGGCCGCTGTAAGGTTGATTACAGCTACACAGACCAACGTGATCAAAGACAACGCTCCGAGTTTGTCTGCAGTTGGGTGACGGAAGGGTTTCATGACGAGATGATGGACTAACATCAGATTACAGGCCACGGACAAGCAGACGAAGCAGATCATGGAATTTGGAATGAAGGCGCGGAATGTCAGAAGAACGAGCCGGCTGCCTATCAAAACACTTTCCCAGTAGAGAGTGCCGTTATCATTTTCACGTGGCGGGCGGTAGGGACCGTGCAATATCTTTGATATTTCATTGGTGCATTCATGGCGTACTTGAGTTTGTCTGCGGTACTGTCTATTGCATACACTTTTGAGGAGCCATCGAACGAGAAACGGAAGGGGAACAATGCAAGCACCAACAAACTCTTTCCATGCAATGGCTTTGGCGTAGAGCAGACCAGAACCCCAATACAGAACGCCGACAAACGGGACCACAAATATAACAATATATGCCAAGAGACCATGCTGCCACCATTGCCAGCAAACGATGTTGCCATCGATGTTAAGGCGCCATTCGGAGCCGATGGGAACACACTGCATGAGTTTAAGAGATGTTTCTGCTAGGCGCTCGTAGCCCAGCAACAAAATCTCTACAGCAACCGCGATGTAATGAGTGAATGATGGTCTTCCCTTTCCCATTACCAGATTCAGCGACCTGTGAAGACAGTAAACGATGAAAACTTGCGCAATAGCAGCAAAAACGAGGGAAGATAAGAACAGCTCTTTGGTCACTGCTGTGAGGCCGGCAAATGGGCAGCCGAGGTTTTTGTCCAAAACGTGGACTTGAAAGTTAAACGCAGCAACTAAGGTGGAAATATAGGGAACATTGGCCAATGTGTTCTCCAATGATTCAGTGAGAAGTAACTCTGCAACTTGGTAAAAATAAAAGAAGATCCTTATATAACCATACTCCGGTTCTTCAGCTCCGTGCAGAGATGAACGTTCCTCCATCTCGTAAGGGGTCTGTCGATCTGTTTTAAACCACAAAATTTGACGTTTCAAATACAGAACGAGCGGAGGCTTCTTCAATAGATAAATGGTAAACAATACGGTGTAAAGTCCCATGAGAATCCAAAGATAATTCCATCTGCATTTGTGGGATTGTCGACATTCTGACGAGAAAAGCGTTTCTGAGTATCCTGTGGCACATCTTCCACACAGGATACCGGACCTAAAGTCACGGCAACTGTTGTAATCATTACCGTGATATAAATGTTTGCTTTGAGGACGACAATACTCCCATGGACAAGGTACGAACTTCAATGACGAAATGTTACTAGCGTTGGTGATTTTGTAACCCCAGAAGTTGGGCTTTGCCAGAATGTTGTTGGGTCCATGGCAGTGGGCACCAAATGGACAGCTTTGACATCTGAAGCCTTTGCTGACTTCTAGTCCTTTAGAGAAACCACGTTGAAGACTGTACATTTTATAGGGACACATTCTGCAGTCAAATAACTCAGTTGTTAAATTGATTGGACAAAACTGTCTATCATCTCCTCCGTAGTAAATAAAATGAGAGAAATTGTAGAAGACGAGTTCGCTGCCAACTTCACATTGGATTGTTGAGCTGGAGTCCATCTCGAAGTAGCCTCCAGATGATATATATAGAACATGCCCGTCCAGAGATCTGTTGCCCATACCGGAGTGAAAAGAGGTGTTGAGTATTTTTAACGGACCTCCACTCTCTGAATACAAAAATCTGCTGAAAGTAAACGTAATCCCTCGGAACTCCTCTTTCTGTTTCGTCCGTTTAAACACGCAGCTGTTAAACTCAACTTTGGCGCTTCCCAATCCAATATAAATCTGTCCTGTCTTTCCCGAGGAAAAGTTGTTAATGAACTTGCATTTTCGAAATTTAACATAGCCATTGATGATCTGAACAGCCCCTGCCATGTGTCCAAGGTTATTTTGAAACAAGGTATCCTCGAGCAAGACGTGACTGGAGTATTTCCACGTGCGATGGGTATCGTTTGTCACACCAATATCGACACATCCTCTGTTCTCTATTTCATCCGTATCGAAAAGGAACATGAGTGCCCCTTGGCTGTTCATATAAGTGGGCATGTGTTTGTAATATGTTCTCGTCCATTCGTCTATTTCAAGACCAAACCCTTCTCGAAACAAGCAACGGCGAATCTTGATCGTGTGGTTACCCTTGGAGAAGAACGCAAACGAATTGCTAGGCCTGCTTTTGAAGGTCACATCTTCTATTTCAATTGCTGCTTGAGAAATATTTGCCCTCTCCAAACGAGGTATAATAAGACGGATACCAAAAGAGGTGTTCTCGTACCTCTGTACTTCTTTACCGTCAAACAGTGTGTTTCTCACCCGAAAGTCGATATTAATGGTGTTGTTAAATACTCCAGATATGTCGTAAGTGTTATTCTGGAATTTGCAGCCTTCAATAGTAACATTTAGATGAAAATTGTTTTTATTTTGCGGGTCCCAGGGGAAGATTCTCAAACCATTCAGCGAAGAAGACACGGTTACGTTGACTAAAGCTAAATAAAAATTAGGAGTTAAGCTTAGAGCCGTTCGATTGTTTTTGACAAAAGATGTATTAGAAATTGTAACAGTTCCAAAATGACTTTCGCTTCCCGCAACTCTAAAGATTGCCGCATACAATACTTTATTCCCTGATTGGTATGCACTGTTATTGTGAAAACTGGATTCGTGAACTCTGACTAAAACTGTTCCATTTATCCTTCCAAAGATTGTTAAACACGTAACCTGATCATTATCCTTACACTGTAAACGATGAAATGTTACTTTGGCTTTCTGCACTATTGAATAGTAAAGGCTACGAGACTTCCTCTGAGAGAAAGCGAAGCTGTTCCGCTCGAGGACGACGTCATCGTACTTCTCTGACGTACTAGCTGTGGGGAGGTCGATCGCTAGAAAATGGCCGCCGCTGTCAGTGACCTTTACCTTTGCAACAGTGATAGACAGATCAATCTTGCGAGAAATATTACTTTTTAATACAAGAGCACCCCTGTAAAAGGCTTTGAAGTAATCTAAAATCCCATTGTTCAGGAATTTAGTGTCCTCGATATCTAAAGAGAATTTCAAGTTTGTCTCAGAGCCTCCAAAAAATTGTATTTTCGCGCAAAGAGAGTTGTTTTGAAAGAGAGAACCTCGAATGGTGACATTTGCTATTGAGCTAGCTGTAGTGTTAATAATGACAGCTTCAGTGGCGTTCTGATGGGTGCAGTTGATAAGCGTGATTTCAAAACAGTCTATAAATCTCAGGGGTGTTTCAAAGAATGTTATTCCAGTTAAAGTGACTCGTAGATCTTGGTCTGACCGATTAAAACAAAACCCTGTCAGGCATTGTATATGGGCTCGAGTAAAGTCTAAACTAGTTATCGTTACGTTCCTTGTAATTTGCGGAATGCCACGATAATGCAACGTAAGTAGTTTCTTACAGCCGAACGGTTGCTGGTCTGTCCCGTTCCCATTAAGGACAATGGTTCCACCTGACGCAACTCGCAATGCTGCCACTGCTATTGTTCGGCATGGTGCTTCCATGGCCCCGCATGCCTCCGTGTCATTTCCAAATAATGAAACGTGGACAATTTGTCGGTGTGACACAAAACAATCTGCAAACACAGGTGGGTAAGATATATTTATAAAAAGTCATCGCCTAGAGAGTAAGCACGGAAATAGACTTTTAAATGGTCGATTTCATATCAATCCCTGTAAGGAGTTCTAGTGCTGAGTAAATTTCCTTTCCGATTTTCAGTTTCTATCGCGAGAAAAGCAGTCGAAGTGAAATTTGAGTTGAGTTGAAAAACATATATATTTTTAGAATTTCAAGTCCGAAGTCCCTGAAATAAGCAGAAGTTCGAAATAGCACTAGCGTAGGCTGCTGAGTAAATAATTTCCTTTTCAATTTTCAGTTTCTATTGCGAGGAAAACAGTTGGAGTGAATACAATGTGTTAGGTTCGTTCGCTGATTCGCGCTGAATTCTTTGCGGCTTATTCGAGGACACAAACAGAAACCGTCGCAACGGCTCAATTTCTATAAAATTACTCGGATTGCCACAGCGAAAACGGGGGCCTCTCGAGAAGACTGGGTACGAGATACGATCACTGGTTTCCATTTACAGTTTGAATTTACTGCTTCGCTACGTGTACACGGTTCTCTAACTTCAATTTGTATTTTTTCTTTGTTCCGCGAAAAATAAAATCTCTAAGCTCCCTAGATTTGACCGCAACCGTCCATTTACGGCTAGTCTGTAAGACTGAAGGAATAGGTTTAATTTTTTTCAGTAATACTTAAGATCTGTGTGATGAAATTTCCGTTTCCTATACAGGTTCAAAACTTCAGTGAGCGTAAACCAACCATCAAAATTAAAACTCAAGGCATTTTTTTTTGTGTTTATCATAGAGTGAACTTCTTCTAAATCCGCATAATAATTAAACTCTGAGGATGTCTACGGAAAGGTTTCGAGATCACTGTTAGAAAATGGTCCCGTTTTATGTTGAAATGGCCTCATTTAGACAATTAACCTGATGGTTTCCTTAAAATGTGTGAACTTTAGAAATCCAAGGAAGGTGAATTAAAACAAGTTGAGTTAAGTCAAGTTACTTGTGGTTAATTTATTAATTCCATAATGTTCGATCAACGGATTCGTGGAAGATCCGCTCAGATGAAAAAAAAAAAACCCTTACAACAAATCACAAAATATTGTACCGAAATTTGAAATGGAATTTTGCAACCACACCGCTCTTCCACACCGCAGACGTTTACCATCATAACATTTCTATCGTAAGTCATTTTTAATACATGAGGGCATGCACATAAAAACTTACCTGCACAAAGGAAGATCATGACCAGGGGAAGACGATACGATAACAGCCAAAGGCTTGCCATCGAGAAATCAACTATATCTGAACTGCAACAGTCACTTATTTTCCACAGCCCTGCTTAAGCAGTACTAACAAGGAAATTTTCAGTGTCAAAATATTTCAATTCCGTTAGAAAATGAAATAATGTGGGACTTCATTCAAGGGACACCCATGGGACAAGAAAAAGTGACCCCTGGATGATGTTTTTTTTTCTATGCCGCGACCGTATTATATTATATGGAAACTATTAAAATTTTGGAGGTAGAACATGTTTGCGGCACCAATTTAGTGACTAGTGAGCAGCGGTTATGGTTAAAGTTATGATGTTTTTTATAACTTATGGTCAAAGTAGGATACGCATCTTCGCATAATTTAATTCCCAGGCTCCGTTGTTTTGTTTCCGCACTAGAGAATTCTAATCAATTTCTCCGTTTTTTCGCTATTAATTTCCTACCACAAACCTAGATTTTCATCATGGCCCCGTGAGAGCATTTATTTGTTGTTGTTTTTTTTAACGTTCGCGCATGACTCTTTGGAACAAATGCTAAAAAGTGATGACTAACTGAAAATATAAATTCATTTTCCTCAGCATTCCCGCGTTCCCCGCTTACATCTCTATTTTATAGGGCCATTTAGCTGTTCGTGTATTCATTTAAATGCATTTACTATTATTTTCGGCTTTATTTAAGATACACATCAGAAAAAATAAAAATTTAAAAAGGCGGGGAACAAGTTGCTTAAACTTTTCAAAGTTTAATCATCATTTATTGTTCCCTAATTTTACCTCTACTGACAAGTTTCATCTCACGGGTTTGAAAACTTGCAAAAGCACTGTAAAGTTTTACTTTCGCGGGCATCTAAAGATGAATTTGCCTATCAAATACGTCCAACTTAAACACATAAAAAACTTACAAGAAGTGTTCAACGCAAGGAAATTTTCCTAAGAGCATTTTGAACTAAGGTTACTTAGGTAATCTTACTTTTACAGCTTCGTAGTCAGTTTTTCGATAACATGGTTTCCATTGGCCATCCTCCTCGTTGGGGTACTTGAACTCGACTAGAAGCCCCAAATTATAGAAATAGTTGTCATAAAATATTCACATTCTACAATTTGACTTCATCGACAGCAACAATAACAAATAATTCTGAAAAAGCTGAAGTTTCTTTAGATGAGTAACAATTTTTTCTCGAGTTGCCGAGTGCAAACAGTTGCATGAAGAACTCATTACTTGATAAATTGTGTCAATAATCGTCTCTTTCATCGAAGCTAAAATCATCTTGAATGTTTTGTCTCTGGTAGTCCAGAAGAGGGTCTGTTACAAGAACATTATTAGAGCTAAAGAACCGAATGACTTTTTTGACGAGTTTAACGGCCAGACGCACTAGCAGCGACAGTGCTGCAAAGATAGCAAGCAGAGCCAACAAGGCCGGGACAAAACCCAAGACGCCAATTTGGAACCATTGCATGCACTCGATGTAAAGCCTGTTTTCTCCCACAGCAGCGGTCCCAGAGGACAAAAGAGTGGCCTGTGTGAGGTTTATGATTGCCATGATGGACAGCACAACCAAGGACACCGATTCCACTCTGTTGGCTGAGGTATGTTGGAAAGGTTTTCTGACAAAATGATGGATCGCCATGAGCTCGCAGGCTACAGCCAAGAAGAGAACACGCAACATGGCGTTTGGGATGAAAGAGTGAATTGAAAGAAGGATTAGACGTCGACCAATTAAAACACTCTCCCAGTGCAGCGTCCCTTGATCTTCTTCATTAGGAGGACGAAATGGCCCTTGCAAAACTTTAATGATTTCCCCTGCTCCATCGTCATCGTTTGGCCTCATTGCAGAATCCTCTCTTCTCTTCTTGCAAAAGTGCATGTATAACCAGTAAGCAAGGAATGGCAAAGGTACTACACAAGCCGCCAGAAAGGTTCTTGCAGAAATGGACGACTTATGAAGCTTTTTAGAGCCATAGTAGAGAACTGCGATAAAGGGCACCACAAAGATCACGCTATAGCCAAGAAGAACATATTGCCATGATCGCCAACAAACAGTGTTTCCATCGATGAATAACCGGTGCTCAGATCCTATGGGAACACAATGCATCAAGTTCAGGGAGGTTTCGGCGAGCCTGTCGTAGCCTAGCAACAAAATCTCCAAGATAGCAGCCATGTAATGATGCACTGATGGAATACTCTTTTTTCGCACCATGTTAACAACAAAATGGACGCAGTAGATGAGGACAACATTCCCCATTGTAGTAAAAACAGCCAAAGAAAGAAAGAGCTGTTTTGTCACTGCAGTCAATCCGACAAAAGGACAGCCAATACCTTTGTAAATAGAGTCAACTTGAAAGTTGTATGCAGATGAGACAATGTTCACGAATGGGAGTTCGTGTAGCTTTTCCGCGAGTGAGTCATTCACGAACAAGTCAGCAACTTGGTAATAATAGAATACGATTTTTAAGTATCCACTATCTGTCTCTTCATCATTCACTTGACCTCTTTGCTCCCTGGCCTCATTGTGCTCTCTGTTTTTCATAAACCAGAAGATCTGCCGCAAACTTAAGAATTGCAAGAATGGTGGCTTAGTCAGTAGATATAGTGCCATTCCAGCCGAGAACAGAATGACCACCAACCATAGGAAATAGTCACTGCATTGACTCATTTTACGACAGCTCGTGGTAAATAGCGACTCTGTATATCCCGAAGCGCATTTGCCACAGAGATATCCAGTCCTGTTTCCACGGCAACTGTTATAGTCAGCGGATTTCCTGCTAGGGGATTGACAGTAGTTGTTAGGACATGGAATAAACTTCAACGATGGTGAAGGATGTGAGTTTCTCATTTCGTATCCCCAGAAGTTTGCTTTGGCTGCGATGTTGATATCATTTCTCATGCAAGTTGCGCCTAACGGACAAGGGTGGCACTCAAACGAGGTATTCACAGAAAAACCGTTTGCCTTCCCGGTTTCAAGACTGTAGTAACCGGAGGAACACAGTTTGCAGGCATACCTAATAACTGTAACGTTGACTCTGCAGAATCGTTTCCTCTTCTCTGTGTAAGCAAAGTGTGACGCATTTTCAAATGTCAGCATACTCCCCTTGCTGCACTGTATTGTTGTATTGTAATCGATGTCCACATAACCTCCGCTAAAGATTTCAAGAACATAGTGCGACTTCCTTTCTGGAATAGTCGAGATCATTGTCGTGTTTCGAAAGACAATAGGCCCTTCACTTTCGGAATAGAAGAACGCAGCATTTTTTAAGTTGTTGTTGTCGATAACTTTATTGTTCTGTCTGCTTGAGAAAGAACAATGTTTGAATTCTACTCTGCCTGTTCCATAGGCAGAATACACCTGCCCTCTTTTCCGAATCGAAAAATTATTTTGAAAAGAACAGTTTCTAAATGTTGTGTTTCCGTTACTGATATACACAGCGCCTGCGAAAAACCCAGCATTCTCTTGGAATAATGTATCTTCGATGGACACTTGGCTTTCGTATCGCCACAGAGGGTGGGTGTTGTTAATATCGTCTTGTTGCACGCATCCTAGTTTCCAGGGTTTATCAGGAATGGAGAGGATCGAGACAGCTCCTGTTGATGTCTCGTAGATGTAAGTGTTTTTGCCAAAGTTCAAGTGCTGTCTACTAAGAGCAGTGCAGTATCGAAATACTGTTTGACGTATTGTTAGCGTTTTATTTCCCTTAAAATATAGCACAAAGATACTGGACGGCCGAGTGTGAAAAGTTACTCTGTCTAGTTCAATGGCAGCAACGCTGGAGGAATTCGTGTTCTTCAAAGGTGGAACAAAGAGGCCAATTGCGTAGCCTTTTTTATCACCGTGATTTGGCCGACCTGTCATGATCGAGTCAATAACTTTTAAAAAAACTGATCGCGGATTGCTAATATTTAATGATAAGTCGTAGACATTATGCTTGAATCTGCAACTGGCGATGGAAATGTTGACACGGAATGGATCTGTTTCCTGACTCAGCCATCTTTTGGACAACTGCAGTCCGTACTTACACGAGGCTACTGTGACGTTTTCAAGTCTGATTTTGCATTTAGGCGTGATATCTAGAGCGCCTTCCGTATTGTTAGTCATGGTAGTATCTTTGACCGTGACGATTCCTCTCTGTTTTCCAAATATCTGGACCCCAACAAAAGCACTCTGATTGGATTTTCCACCAACAAATGAAGATCGAACGATCGTTACATTCGTGTTGCCTCCCGTTGTTCCGATGTAAACAGCACTCTCCGCATTTTGTCGTGTGTTGGTCCAATTGAACTCGTCCAAAATGATCAGTCCGCTATGGAGCGTGAGGCAAAAGCTTCCAAATCGATACTTCAGTTTATGACTGACACAGTTTTCCACATTGACTTTTTTAAGTGAGGCATAGAAAGCGTATGTCAATGGTTTTGACTGCGGCTTGTGCGTTTTCCCGATCAGAATAGCAGAACCGTCCGTGGTAGCAACGCAATCAGTGAAGTTAACATTGGTAAAACTCAGCCTTATGTTTCCCAATGTCGCACGGCGATCAACGTTGAGGTAAACAGCTCCACCGGCGTTAGCTTTGTTTCTTTTAAACACGGTATTAGTCACAACTAAAGATGCATGCTTTTTTGATTCAAGGGAGATAGCACCACCATTGCCTTTGCTCGCATTTTGCCCGACAAAAGCGGAATTATCTATGGAAACTTTTGCCTCGTCTGAATAAATCTTTATACATCTTAGAGCTTGGTCGTTCTTGTTGTTAGCACAGTGTACGTGTGTGAACGTTACGTCGACTTTCCTTGTTCGAGATATATACATGCTATCTTTAAAGCGTCTGCTCTTCTTACTAAAGGGCGTTTTCAAGTTGTTGTCCACCAGTTCAATGTGGCTGTATGTCTCCTTGGTCACTGCTGCTCCAAGGTCCAAAACAACAAATGGAACCCAGTTACCAACACAGCTGATTTTGAAGCATGAAAGTTTAACAGCTGCTGACAGACTTGCGCTTTTCCCTGCAACTTTCGTCATGGAAATTATACCCGTCGCTAATTGTTGTCCATCAATGCCGTTTGCTATAAATTTTGTTTGGCTGATACTCGCATAGAGAACGCTGGAATTGTGCAATAAGATTTCCACACAATTATAATTGTTTGTAAATAGAGAAGGACCCTGGATATCGAAAGTGACGCTAGAGGCGTTTAGTGCACGAACACTAACAGCGGTTTTAGATTCTCGATGAGAACAGTTTATGAGATGAATTCGACCACAGTCTTGAAAATTTATAGGAGTTCCCTTGAATACAATTCCAGACAAAGTCACCATCATTTTGAATTTCGAGCGATTCTCCGTAGGGTCACCTTCAAAGTGGATTCCTTCCGCGCACGACACATGTGGGGTGGATTGAAAACCTTTCATTGTTACACTCCTTTTGAGATAAAGTCCCGGAATATAATTACGCGCCATCCGATTGGTACAGTTAAATGGTTTTTCATCGGTTCCTGTCCCATTCAGGTGTATAAATCCGCCCGGGGCTATGAGGGAGAATGCTTGCGATATTGACTGACAAGGTTCATCGATAGAGCCGCAGTTTTCTGTATCTCGTCCTGAAAGCGAGACATAGATATTTCTGGATGCTTGGCCTTGGGTACCTGAAAGTTTAACAACTGTTTAGTATCCATGGCTAGGAGACATTAACTATTTTGAGGGATGTTGTCGTTGTAATGCAATTGCAAAGTATACAAAAGTATTCAGCCACTTCGTCACGTGGTCGGTTCACTATAAGCCATTTCACAGTAAAAGAAGCGAAAAGCAAGTTTATCTTTATGTGTCATGATTGGACATGAAAGATGGCAAATTTCGATCCCAGTCCTTCAAATAAAAGAAGATGGTAAACACTTAACCCACACTCGTGAAAAATGCCAAGTTTCTTTATTTTATTTGGTCGAATGACTCATTTCATTTTCGACCGTGAAAACATATTATAAATTGGTTGAATGATCAATTTATTTTGATTGAGGTTTTCACCTGTGCTTATATTCATTCGTATCTATCAAAGCACGAATTTGAATTTTCGCCTCCTCCACCCCCTTAAGTTTTAAATTCCAGGGAAGAACCGGACAATTCTCGGAAATTTTGAAGAATCTTGACAAAGAAAGAACTTTAGTTGAGAAAGCCAGAGAGCGGGCTTTCCAAATGAGGAGGTTTGCGGTTTCTGGAATAAATTACTCAAGCGGAATGAAGATTTGAAACTTTCCATTATTGCTTGATGCTGTAATGCGGTCTCATTTACTGACCAGCTTTTATACATGTATGCCGATTTTGTATGTATTTGTACAGATTTAAAAATTCACAAAAATTTTATAAATACATTTCCCAAACAAAATGCATTTAAAATAGAATTCCAAGAAAAAAGTGAATTATATGTTGAACCATCAAATAAGGTGTATTTATTTACTATAGTAATTTATTTTAATGAGGAGCACAGATGTGTTTTTGTCGTATCTCCTGAAATGTTTTTTTTTCTCAAGGGCCGATTGCCAATATCTGATCGAGGACTGTTTCTACTGTGTCTAAAAGGTTGTTTACAGTCGCTGTAATATTTTCATAGATAAATGACTCGTTTCAAAAAATTGTTCGTCGACACCTTAACAGATAATCATAGAATGATTTTAGGCCTCTCGGGTCATACATAAAGCCCCCCTTCCCCCAGTTATATAATTTAAGCAGGAGTTTTAATAATTTTTCCTTTAGCAGCTACCGATGGTGCAAATAGGCGACTTTAGCCGAAGAAGGGGCCGTAAGACAAAACCCAAACACCTGAGCCTGCTTGCAAGCCATACAGACGGCGGTAAGAGCTCTCATAGGCGGCGGTAGATCGCCGGCCACTTTTATCGAAATACCCGCCATAAGTTCTCTCCACGATCGGTTTCTCAACGAAGCTACCCAAATATAACACCTTGAACGCTTCTTTAATTTTAAAACGCGATTGATCAGAGATTTCAAAAAATTCGAAAAAATGTAAATACGGTATATCTGATAAATAACTATGTTCTTCCAAGTTCCTGACACCAAAAAAACCAAAAACCAAAATCCAAAAACTTATCTTATTTGTTCCCTTAAAATTGAGGAAACTTCAACTAACCTGCACAGATGCTAGGAAGGACAAAGAGTTGAAATAAACAAGATAACAGCGGAATGAACGCCATGGACGAAGCCGACAGACTTAGCCACATTTCAGTTAGGATCCAAAATGCCGTCCTTTGCTGAATGGGAAAATTTCATGTGACGCCGTCTTTTATGAAGTTATCTGCTGGAAAACGAAAGGGTATATCTGTTGGTTCTCTTGTGCAGGAAAATGAAATAAATCTAACTAAATTTAAACTACTGGTACCTGGCAATTTGTAAAAGACTGGTCTCTTCGCCTCTTGACATTAGCGAAATTCGACAAAACCCTCGCGACTAGGAAACTTTCTGAATTTTTATTTTGTAAAACTAACGTGAAATTGAATTTCAGATTCTACATATTTGGAAACAATTTTCCAAGAAACTGAAAATAGAGGTCCTTGTGTCAGAAAGAAATAATTAAAATTAGCCTCAACAGTTATTTCTGAGAAATCTTTTTTCTTTCTGGGAATCCCCTCTCTTTCCAAGAAGGCTAAATATTCATTGTGTGAAAATTCAAAGACCCTATAAGGCAAGGCAATCAGTAAGAGCAAAAAAAATCGCCAAATATCGTTCTGTCCCATTAAAATTCGTCAATTCGATGGCGTACAACACTTTACTATAGAATTAATTTTTTACAACGGCAAACCATCCTTTCAGTAAATGTTGCAAGTAATAAAACAACATGTCAGTTTTATCACAAAGAGAGTTTCGTTGCCATTGACAACTGTCATGAATGTTCAGTCAAAATAATGGCGTCAGAGGAAATTAGCATTCAGGCAGGTGGAGGCAAAAATTTATTTTCTTTAGCTCTCATCTGTCAGGTAAACTTCCCGTTCTACCGAAATCGCTTCTACCCTAGCTTGATTATTTTCTACTGCAGATGGGTCTCCAAGAATCAAACAAGAATAAAACATTGAAAAACTATGCAACTTCGGAAACGTCGTACGCCACAACGCGAAGCATTCCCACTTAAAAATTATGTACGCCAGCAGACGGTCTTTTATCCTTTTGAAAATGTACATTTCTGGTCATATCAAGTTACGACTAAGTCTTCATGGTGAACTGTTGAAATAGTGTACTTTCTGTCTTTTTGGCGAAGGTTTAATGAAAGTCAACTTTAAAGGCCTATATAAAGCGGGCAGTGTAAAACGAAGACTGCGGACTGCAGACCGCGGACTGCAGACCGCGGACTACAAACCGTCTGCAGTCCGCGGTCTGCAGTCCGCGGTCTGCAGTCCGGTCGGACCGGGAGTAAAATGCAGACTGGGGGTAAAATGCAGACTGAAGACTGCAGACCAGGGGTAAAATGCAGACCCAGTTCTAAAACAACCCGCTTCCCCGAAAAAACTTCAAGAGTGAGCCGGGCTTTAGGCCGCGTAAGTCGTGAGAAGCTGGCAACAATCGTCATGGCGAGTGGTGTTTCGAACTCTATTTCCTCAGATGGTTTTGGCGTTGACATATTGTTTTAAGGTAAAACGGTTAGAAACGTAAGTGTTTGAATATGTTGATCACAGCTAGCTAAATACATATCCCTTGTTGAGGAATAAACAGTTCTACTGAGCAACATTAAAGAAACATGTAGCTCATGTATACTTTGTTCGGCCTTAAAAAGTAGTAGCGATAGACTTTCATCACACATCGGCAACTACCAGTTACAAGTAAGACACAAGACTGTTGAATTCAATTCTTTCATTGGTTGAGCAGAATCGACTAACAGTGTAATTGCATGACTGTGCGTTACAGTTGGGCTACGATTTTGCCCTTTGTAATTAAGTGACTGTGCGCTACAATTAGGCTACGATTTCACTTAGTTTTTTCAGTTTTTAGTTATGCGTGCCATCGGCGTTTCAGGATCGATATGTAAGTTTTTTAAGTTTTTTTTTCTTTTTCAACCGGTTATAAACGGTTGATTCTTTTAGAATCGAGTCTGCACTTTACCCCTGGTCTACGGTTTTCAGTCTGCTTTCACCCCCAGCGAGTGTTTTACACTGACCGCTCACAATATGGTCTGGTATACATATTTACAAATTATAAAGACACAACATCGGCAAGTGTGAAAGAGTCACTGATGTGTATCAAATGCAAACTTCAAATACTGTGAACAATCTTAATCTAGGAATAGCGTTTTGCCTCGTTTGTTGATTAAATAATACACTTAAGAACTAAAGAGAAACTAAGGAAGAGGGGACTTAAAATTTGTTGTTCATTTTCCATCTGATGGTAATTTATCGTAGCCGACGTCGACCTTTCAACCGTACCAAATTATTCCGTCAGACTCTAAGCTCTAAACAGCGGGAAATGCAAACCAAAAGTGACAAATTTTGTTCTACATTTTCAATTTTTGGTAAAATGAAAATATACTGAAATCTCGAGTCCCATCTGCTGGTCCCTCGGAAATTGTCCCTTTATTTTTCATTTCACACATACTGTGCATGCATTGCGATAGAATTCGGCGGAAATCAGGTTGCTCCAAATGACCTCGTAAAATTTCGTCATGCGGTATCCAAAAATTGGAAACAGTTCCAACGTTTTCAAAAGAGTAATCGCGTTTAAAATCACATTAAAAAAAACAAACAAAACAACAAAAAAATTCACAGTCTGCACGGTCTAGATCTGCAGCCTGCGTTTTATCATGACCGCACGCAAGCTGGGATCATCGGCAACCTTCCAGCTTGGTCAAGGATGTATCATGACAAAATTACATAAAAATGCCTTGAAGTACTTCACTGACCATTAAGTTAAATTTTAAGATTATGTAGGAGCACCAAACATCTTACAGATCTGACCGACATAACATAATAACGTACTCCGGCCAACAGTCGTAACGGTTGATATGAATCACACAAAATTAAATGTAAATTTCAGAACTATTTAGTCTTGCTCGAACGATTTGAGGTGAAGTATTCTCTTAGGACATCTAACAATAATCAAATACTAGTTTCATTCAAAACATTTTAATTTTCGATTGTAGATGCAAACAGCACATACAGAACTTTGCACACCTGAATAAAGAACGAAATTAGAACCTTGACGAAACAAGAGAACTGAAACCGAAAGTAAATACGAAAGCTTACTTCGCACTTCCCTGCCAAAAAGTAATGAAAAACTTTGACAGAGAAAGCGGCTACGTAAATACCTACTTACATAAGGTATTACTCTACAATGTTACAGCTCATGATGTGAACCCTAGGTAGTTTCATAAGTGAACACTCATGGTTCGACAAGATGCTGCAAGACGTCAATATTTCAAAATACATCTCACCGTTTAACTCGCTCTCTCCGTCTCCGACAACGGTTTTAGTAGCTCCAACTCAAGTTGTTGTTGTGTTCTTAGACTGTCATCAGTTTTCCCTTTCAGTAATTTTATCATCCGGTACAACTTGAGCTTAAACAAAACGAGTCTGAATTCAATAACCCAGTCGTCGCTACCGAGGAAACATATAAATGATGTGTCAGCGCTAAGTCCGAATGTAATTATGGTTGTAATTTCGCTGCGAGGAACCCGTTTCTTATATCGCTTGAGAGGTTTTTACCCACTATATATTACGATAAAAGCTGACGTCTGCGGGAATGGCAAGGCGTAGCGTGACCGAGATAAGTTGTGAACGTAGCTAGTAAGGTGAATAACAATTAGCCTACGAGTATTTTGTCCTTATTTGGCGAGTAAAAAAAAAAAAAAAAAAACGATGTAAGCGCACTGCGCGAAACTCCCAAAGTTCTGAGCAGCGCGGTATCATCATTACCTTATTTCCCGCATTATTTTTGAGTCGCGCGTTTGGAGGATCACCTGGTTTTCAGGGAGAACAGTCGTATCCAGAAGAGTTTAAGGTGAACTAAAATATTTTGACTGCCAATAAGGGGGAATCATTTGAATACTACAAAGCATTATGGAGGGATTAGGCAAATTCCATTGTGACGCAACCAAAAGCCTCCAACACCCAAGTAGGTCCTTAGAGATTGTGCTAATAGAAGTAGCAAGTTACGCTTCTAGCATTGCTCGATTTTTTTCCGAATTATGCTCAAAATTGAGCCCGTTTTGAAAATTATGCTACTTTTACTTAGAGCAAGCTTTTCAAAAAGAAACACAAAGCAATCCAAATGTCGTATTCATTGCTAATAACATAACCATATTTTCGATTCTTTAACGTAAGTTACACATTTATTCTGCTAAAACAGAACTAACTACTGTTATTTTGTGGCCTGTGAAAATAGACTGAACCATGGATCAATCTTTGAGACCAAGCAATTCATGGCTGTGGTAATGTTCCCTTCAAAAACTAAAATATGCTGATCAGGCTAGCAGTGCTACTTTTAATAAAAAGTGCTAAGATCATGCTCGCTTTTACAAATAATTCCAAAAAATAAGCTAGCACAATCTGTAAGGGCCAACACCCAAGGGCAATTTACAAGACAAAAGACATTTTCAAAAAAATCAACCTTTTGGAAGGGTTTCTGTGTGAGGAGAGCCATTCCTAATTCTAGTCTCCATTTGCACTCTGTACTGAATTAATTATAATATTGTTCCTCGTAAAAATTGCTCAAAAAGTGACTCTTGAAGGAGTTATTCATTTCATTTACTCCTTATTGGCCTTCCACTTGAAACAGTACAGTTACTCTGGTCTCGTTCAACCCTAAAAGTAGTTCAAGGTTTTTTTGTCTCTAGGTTCCATGAGCGCTACGTTATATACGAGATGCACGGAATACAGGAAAGCAAATGGGTGAATAAAATGATAAAATAAAGCCACTGTGTTTATTTATTTCAATCTTTTTGTTTCTTCATGACGGAAAGCGGTGCGGCGTGTGGCGCTGTTGGTACGTCATGTAAGGAGTGAAGCGTACAAGCACCCAATCCTCTCTCTTGAGAAGAATAACAAGATGGCGGCCGAACCATCGGAAAGTCAATTAGGTCTTTCGTGGCATGATAGTGCGTGGATTCCGGTTCTCAATCCTGATAATGTTTTGGAATATTTTTCACAAAGAACGAACCCCTTTTATGATCGCACATGCAATAATGAAGTCGTTAAAATGCAGCGACTCGACCCGTCAACCTTGTCGTAAGTATGGAAGTAATTTCTCGTGTAAAGTAAGAGGTATGATCATATCGGAGGGTAGATCTGAAAAGAGTCGTTATTGACGGAAATGTCTGGCGTTTCGATAAACTAACGAATCCTCAGCATCAGTCTACCAAAAGCAGTCTTTTTAGAATCACCTCCTCCTTTTGGATTCAAACGTACCATTCTTGAAATTAAAGGTTCGTAGATTTTTTTCAGAATGAGAGACGATAATTTTCAATGGTTAAACCATAAAATGGAGATTCAGTTTTTATTACGTCTGCCGACCTTTGCGATGTAATATTCTACTTTCACGTGGACCGTAAATGTACGTGTAAATTTAGATAATTCTTTCTTTGTTGATGCAAGAAAGGCATATTTTTTTTATTTATTGCACTATGTAAGGTGTGAACGTCGCCTGGACATACTCAACCCACAGCAGCTTACTTTTCAGAGGAAATTTTTAAGGAAGTGAACCTAGGGCTGATGATGTGGGATAATTAAGTTCACATACTGAGATGAACTTGGTGCGATCTGGCAAAGTTCACCCTGGTTGTTGGGTTGGAATGTTCTTGGTTAAAATTTCTGATATAATTTTTAAAATATTGCATTCTTTGACAGAACAATAATTCAATACTTGCATTCTTAGCTTGCCTCTTATTATGATTTTATGAGAATAATAAAAAAAATCAAAGGAAGAAGTGCAATATCAATGCCAGTATGTGAGCAATATCACGCCTACCCCTCCCCTGCCCCAACATCAGCCCAAACCTATCAACAGTTGACTGTTGTTGTGTTAACCCTTTTACTTCCATGAGTGATTAAGACAGAGTTTCTCCTTACAATATCAATGCAATATCAATATCAACCAAATAAAAATATCAATTTGGGGTTAATTAGTTGATTCAATACTAAATTCTCTAAACTAACATTATAAGAATTGTGTGGTTGAAAATAAGGAGAATTACATATTTGATCTGAGAGTGAAAGGGTTAAGGGAGGGGTACATGCGCAGTTACTCACATACTGACATTGATCTTGAGTGCTGAAGTGGGATCATGGGAAGTGAACTAGCCCAATTTACTAAACTTGCAGTCAATGGGGTTCATTGTGGCTGTTATCCTACTGCTTTTAAAAATCATGTATTAACTGTGAATCCTTTGTGGATTTGCACATGCTTAGTCAAATTGTCGTTATTAATTTAATTTACTTTTGTTTTCTTAAAGTACCATGACAGGAATTGAATATGTAGTTCTTCATGTTCAAGATCCAATCCTATATGTCATTAGAAAACAACACAGAATTTCCCCAACTCAAGGTATCTTAATTTGTAATACACTGGTTAAGATCTCTTTTTCAATATACAGGTCATGTATACAATTTAGTGGTAGACTGATTATCACATGCATGATGAATTATAAAACTGCTACAAATTCTGATTCACTGCTAGATTCTCCCTTCAAAATGGTTTGTGTTCCCATGTGAAATGGAGAGAGAAGGTCGGTTAATCCCCTTGACCTTGTCTCAGGGATTATTCAGCGATATTTATCTGGCTTTCAGCAAATAATTGTCTAAGGAAATGTTTAGTGGCTTTGGGAGAGAATTCACAATTAGATCTTGGGAATGAAAGGCTAACCATGTGTTGCGGTGTAACAATTGCCATTTATCATAAAAGTAACCAAAATTATAGTGTTCAAGTAAGGTGTTGTTGTTGAGAGGTTTGGGTGCAATACCTGGCCTGCTCATTCTGCTGTGTACATTGGTTGGACACTGTTCTCTCACAGTGCCTCTCTGGAGGCACCCAGGAGTATAAATGGGTACCAGTGAAGGGAGTGTTGACCTGTACTGGAACAGAATCCCACCCTGGTGGAAGTAGTACTCATAGCTATTTCATGCTATAGAGACCAGGATAAGTATTAGCTCCTAATGGGGCCCCTCTGCTTAAGTGCAGATTCTAACCCTTTCTTTGATTGCCTGTTTGCAGTTACTCCACTTGCAGATTACTACATGTTGGCAGGAGTGGTTTACCAAGCACCCGATCTTTGCTCAGTCATAAATTCCAGACTGGTTAGTAAAAAGTGATTAGACTTGTTAACTGATGAAGCCTTTTATGGCTTTTATGGCTGGTTATATTGTATGGAGAAATTCTTTATTCTGTTGGCTGAAAATTAAGTTCTGTTCTTACTTTGTTTTACCTCCTCACATATCAGAAATATTCTTGGCCAACAGCTCTAGAAACACATGCAATTTGTAAATACAAACTACAAACCATCATTTGTTTTTGATTTTAGATGGTTTTGGGAGTAGGGTGTCTTGGAACGGGGGGGGGGGGATTTTACCCCCCTATTTCCTCACATTTTAGCCTTGACTGAAGCCTTTAAGCTTTTATACCAAGCAAAATCATCAGTCTGAAAGTGTTGTTTTATGCTTCCCCAGCTGTCTACCTTGCACCACATACAAGCAGCTTTTGATGAAGGTGAATGTTGTATGAGTAAAATATTCAAGAATTCATGGAAATTTCTGACTCTTAGTCAATAGAGACAGTCAATGTGTCATTTATTTTGCCTTATACAGCTTTATTAACAGTTAGCAATGTCTAAGGTAAATAGCAATTCAGCGATGTAAGGGATCAGGGCTGATGGAAAAGGGAAGGGGTCAGTATTTGAAGAGAGAGTTCTGGGCAAGGAATGAAATGATATGAGGGGTTTAATTGAGAATTAAAGGTTTAATTGAGAATTAAAGGTGTGGGAGTGGCAATTGTTGGAAGGGGACTTGGAATTCAGGGGTGGGGAGTTGGATTTGAGGGGAGAGAATGGGAATTTTAGGGGTGGCAGGTGGGCATTGAGGGGTGGGCAGTGGGTATTGAGGGGTGGGTAGTGGGTACTGAGGGGTGGAGAGAGAGAATTTCAGCTGTGGGGCCTGGTAACAGAGGTATGAAAATGGGAAATGGAAGTGATAATTTAGGAGATAGTTGTCAGAGTTGTTGGTGAAAAAGGAAGGATCAAAAGAAAGATGGGAGTGAAAAAGAGAGGAGTGGAAGTGAAATGTGGGGTTTGAGTAGGGAGGTTTTGTTGAGGAGAACGAGAGACATAGGATAAAAAGGTGAAATGTGGGAGTCAGTAGTGAGGGCTCAGTAGTCGAGAAATGAAAATGGAAAGGTCAGAGATGAGGGGTAAGAGGTGAAATGGAAAAGTGAGAGGTTAAGATGGGGAGTAGGAAATGAGAGTTGAGAAAGTCAGGGATAAAAACGTGAGAAGAGGTGAAACTTGAGTTAAACCATTGCAAGCATTAAACAACATGCTTGTTTGAGACTTGCACAAGATGTAGCTCTTGTTGTTATCATTAAATGTTGGCTGGTTCAAAGAAAGTGTTTAATGTGACTGAGTTCAAGTTTTGTTTTTGGTTATAAACAGCGTCATCATACTCTAGGTATCATCCATCTAAAGGTTACTGGTGGGAGTTTAAAGATAAACAACAGAAACATTTGACAGGTGAGCCTTTCAAGTACCAGGCTAAAAAAATAATCTCTGATAAGAAGTGACGAGTTTATACTCAGAAAATGACGTTGTTTGGTTTAAATTTTGCATCTGATTGGTTGAGAGAATGTTGGGAGTTTTCTGGACCAATCACAGTGCAAAATAAACAAAACAATGCCATCCCAGATTACTTTCCACACCTCATTGACATTTGCTCAAAAGCGCGGGAAAAAGCGAGTGACCAAAGCAATCGTAGATTACGTTTGCCTTTCAATTGAAAATTGCTCTTTGTATCCCTTGGCTTAAATTATTAGCTAACTTCCTTGTTGTACAATACTTGTTTACTCTGTTTTTTTGTTTTTTTTTTTACTGTAGCTTCTAAACGGAACCAAAGTAACAAGAACAAGACGGCGAAGGATCCCGATAAAGAGCCTAGTTCACAGTTTCAACGGGAAGGTGTTCACATGTTGCTTGGGGAACTTTCAAGAAAGTTTCCACCACAGTTTCTTCAAGGCCAGACTTCCACAGGTAATCGAAAGGCAATTATTAAGGTTTACACGCTGACGCAAATGATTTGATGTGAAGGATATACACAAAATCGAAGTACAGTATAAAAAATTTCGAGGTAATTCCACAGTTCTTATGTGCAGGTGCCTTCGTTTTATACCACATCACGATAGGGAAATCTCTAATCCCTGTAGAATTCCTTTGAGTTGAATCCTGTACATTGCCCTGAAAAACCTCCAACGATATATTGGTTCCTAGGGCATCCTTGGGGTGTCCCTCTTGGTTAGAAACGCTTTTGTTTTACGTGAAGAGCCTTTAACGCCCTTTGATTGATCGAGAAAACTCGTGCCACCCTTTCAACCAATTAGATGCAAAGCTGAAACCATTTGCGTAACTTGAGGCCGGTCACGTGTTTTTTGAGTTCCCATAATTTACCTACCTTTGCTTTGATTGGCTATTGCTTTTCGAGTCTCATGACACAATCGAAAAGCGCTCTTGATGATACCTGAACAGAGATATCCAGTGAAATTGGCTCAAAAATTCAAAATGGCATTAAATATTATGGGATGTGTAGGTAGAAAGCTACATACTCAAACTACTTTCCTTCAAGACGCTTTGCATTTAGAATAATTCCAGTGAAGCTAACTACGACAAGAGATATCTTCAAAGGGAAAATATCATTTGAACCTTTTTATTTGTTGTTTTGTTTTCATCCAGGCCAAGTCAAGAAGAACGGAGACAAAAATTCTAATGACGACAGTGAATCGAAAGAGGAAGATTCTTCAGCATCTACAGAACCGCTTCCAAATGGTGCTACTGTGACCGGGGGCTCAGGCACCAACGTGTCACGTGGTTCTCTTAACTCGCATCAGGCCATCAAGAGAACAGCGAGTACTGATTCCTCCACAAAACCACCCCCAGGCAAGAAAAAGAAAATTTAAACCAACTTGAGAACTTGAAAAGTAGGAATATTACTAAAAGATACAAGAAACTGCAGACTTATCTCGAAAACATTAAAGAAAATCTGGCAGACTCCAAAAGAAAGCAAGTTGTTCCATGAGCACACTCCCTTCTTAGCCTGACAGGCTCGTTCTCGGGCAAACACTAAACACAGGAGTAAACAGGTGGAATATTGGGAGAGTGGCCTGGGCGCAAGCGTGGGATGATAACCCTGCAGTGGAATCACATTTCACCAAAGAGGGTCCCGTTGTCTAAAACAGGACAACCGCACTTGTCCACAACAAGGAGTAATAGAGACAAAAGCAACCAAATACCAATGGGTTGTGTCGCATCTGCTAGGAATTAGTTATGTATAAATGTTGATAAAATAAATTGAATCCAGAAACAGATCGCAGTTGATCCTCTCTTGCTTTAACCTGGATCAGTCCACAGTGACACCCCACACACTACCCCCGCCCCTCCCCCCTCCGGCATCTTTGCAAATATTCTTTATTGTCCTGTATAAATTTCACAGGTGCTGTTGTTGTTGTTGTTGTTGTTGTTTTTTAATTAACATTGGCGTTCTTAGCTGGAATGTTGTTACTATAAAATTACTTTCTTATCAATGTTTTCATCATACTTTTAGTATATTTCCTTAATTCAATATGCGCAAAAATATATTTTACTAGTTGGAACTCACAAACTACAGAAGCACTCACTACAAAACGAATTTAAATTTCACAGGTGCTGTTGTTGTTGTTGTTGTTGTTGTTTTTTAATTAACATTGGCGTTCTTAGCTGGAATGCTGTTACTACAAAATTACTTATAGTATATTTCCTTAATTCAATATGCACAAGAATATATCATACTAATTAGAGCTCACAAACTACAGAAGCACTCACTACAAAACGAAAAGTGTTTCACAGTAGTGTTACTACACTGGTCCTGCATTCCCATAATCGCACAGTCCCTATTTATACTCTAACTCAGATGACAAAAAAAAAATATAAGTTAACAGAAGGAAAGTACCATGGATTATGACCAAAGGGAAGTTAAGAGCTACGCCAACACCAATAGCGAGGACTAGGCTCTAACAAGTCACTTCCTCCCCTAAAGCCAGTATTAAGAAGAAAAGTTCAAAGTCAGAGATCTTTTCCTTTTCCTTTTCCTTTTCCCGCATTTGCAGTGAATTTGTAGTTCTTAATGTACGTGATAGTAATTTTTTTTTCTAGTTTATACTTATTTTTCACTATTTTTAATTTCCTAAAGGTGCCTACATATAGCTAGTAATGTTCACAGAAAAAGCAGACCAGAGCGTAAGATTGAAGTAAAAGGAAAAAGTAATCATTATGAAAGCTTGGTCTGGTAATCTCAGCAAACATCAGTGTTGACTAAAATCGTGAATGGCGTTCAAAAAATAGAAGCGGGAAAAACAGTTAACTCTTTACGCGCCTCTCGCGTCGGTTCTGACAATTTTCGTGTGGAGAGTATCCTTAGGTATTAGTACTTTTTTGTTTGTTTTCTCTACAATATTTTTTAACCACGGATTCGGATAATTCATTTTTTTACATTAAAATTTACTAAACAATGTCGCTTTGAAAGAAACGAAAAAGAATGATTATTCATCCTATTGTTCATCTTAAATCAATCATCCTCAATGCCTTTCAAATCTTTCAATTCACATTTTGGGAATATTTTCTGTAAATTACGAATGTTCTACTATTCCTCAAGTTGAAGGTAATTTTTCCTTGGCCGAGTGCAACTCCAGAGAGCGTGACACCCTTTGAGAATCAAGCAAAGTAACGTTTTCAAAAATAGTCAACTCTTAAAAAGTACTACGGCCAACTCCGAACTCGTTCACTCCTATTATCAATCAGTTAATTCTCCTTTCTCACTACTATATATTCTGTTGAAAACTAGTTCTGAGAATTTGCAAAGCGAGGTAAGAGTAAGATGATGGTAAGATGATGGTGGTTATAGAAGACTTTGCCATTTCCGTCCCTTCACACCAGCAAGTGGTACACTTCAACCGTGTTTCGCTCGCACCTCCTGCATATGCTTGGTGTGTTGCTGAACAATTTCCTCCACAACTGAAGGATCCGCTAAGGTGGAAACGTCGCCCAGTTCATCGGGTTTATTCTGGGCTACCTTCCTCAAAATACGACGCATTATCTTTCCAGACCGGGTCTTAGGAAGACCAGACACAACCTAAGGAAAAGAAAACCGGGTTCGATTAAAGAGAGGTAAGATATTTTAGTTTCCAGGCTACCCTCCGGAATATCAGATTGAAATGGTAAACAATAGCTCAGTAAGAAAATCGGAAGTGAAAGCTTTTACAACAGACTATCCTTTGAATCCTTTCAAATTTCCAAACTGCAAGACGCCAAATAGAGTACCGATGTTTCCGATATGCTTCGTACGTAACGAATTCCAAGAATCATAACAGCTCGCTGAGAAACCCAATCGGCAATTACAATCGGAGTCAGGTGCGGAGAAATATACAACAAGTGTCAGTGGCGGGAAATCATGAAGATTAGAACAGGTGCCAACCAGAGAATTAATGAAGGTGAAAAAAGGAAAAAAAAAAAAAGCCGCAACCGGCGTCACAAAGCAGTGAAATGGGTAACGAGTCCAAGCATGGAAAATTCGTTAACGATGCCAAGGACGGAAACTCGTAACCCTTTCCAAGGGTGGAAAAGCACTTAAACTATTCCAAGCGTTCTGAATCAGACCCTCGTCAAATTCGGTTACTTACACACTTTCTTAATTAGTGTGCTAAGCACGAAAAAAATTAAGTGGTACCCCCTCCCCCTCTAAAAAAAAGGTAAAAGATGTTGAGGGTTCAAGGCGCAACCGGCACTAATAAATCCCCCACGTTCTAAATTTCTGAGACGAAGAGTTGCGTCTCAAACACAAATTAAAATCAGAGAAGAATTACCTGAATGACTTCTGGGACAGCAAAGGAACCTATCTTCTCTCGGACGATGGCTTTCAGTTCTTTTCTTAAATCTTCCGCAGAAATTGTGGCGTCGTCCTTTAGTGTTGCATACGCATAAATACCTAGCAAAAACACCAACCAAATATACAGCTGTTTGTCTCTTAACAAGCCAAGGTGATATAAATGAAGTGATCTAAACAAGGTGATATAAATAGCTTGCCCGGGAACAGTTCGCTGAGAAAGAGGTTAATTCTTTGAGATTGAGTGGCCTATGATTTCCATTGAGATCTCCCCCCCCCCCCCCCCCTTCCCAAGTTTCTGTCACATGATGCGACTAGAATTAGGTCGACTTCTCCTGGGTGGAGGAAAAAAAAAATTCAACCAGTCCATTACATTTGTAGGAATTTGAAACCTTAACATTCTCTTAAATTGAAAGTAAAACCTTGGTCAGTTTACTACTTCTAAAGAATGTCACACTGAGATACTAAGAAACCGACCTTCTCCTTTCACAGGATGTGGAAATCCAACGACAGCAGTTTCAGCGACTGATTTGTGATAATCCTGGAGAAAAAGTGAATCAAAATAATTTGGTAATGAGAAATAGTAAACATAACATGCATAAAGAAGGCAAATTTTAGGCAGTGACTAATGTCACGTTAAACAGAGATGATTTTCATCAAATAAGAAATCTAGAGAAATGACTTTTGTGGGTTAACATTGAAATCGATCAAATCACACAATTTTAAAACAATCATTGCTTACCATGGCGTCTTCGATTTCTGCTGTTCCCAAGCGCTTGCCACTAACGTTGATGACGTCATCCATCCTTCCCGTAATTCTGTAGTCTCCGTCCTTGTCTCGTAAAGCACCGTCACCGGTAAAGTAAAATCCTGAAAACGGGAAAAACTGGTGACCAACAAGGTATTGCACTGACCGTCAGCGAAACCAAAGGCCAATCAAAATTCGAGCCTAAAATGTTTGTCTTCATCTGTCTATACCTCTGTGTCTTCTAAGGCAAACATGAAAACTACCTTAAAATTGAAAGAGGCTTAAAAAACTTAGTTAAGTTTAGCAGATAAGGGCAAAGATGCAATGAAAATCCAAAAAGGATCAAGGATGGCGGAGGCTGAAGAAGATTAACAAAGATCACCCACGAGTAAATTGAAAATGAAGCAAAGTTTCTGAAGAGAAACAGACCGTGACGTAGTTACTGCAACCGGTATGCAGCGCGGGAAAACATGCGAACGGTGCGTAAGGCGGGAAAATTGACTGCCAGGTCTTAGACGTGGGCCAGAAACAGCCGATGCAAAACGCTTGGAAATAAGATAAGCGTATTTTAATAACCTATTATAATAAGCTGTTCGATCTGAACACTGCAGTAAAACCTAATAGCAAGATTTCGTTTCCTTACTTAACTACATAATACTTTTTTAATATCAGTATTTACATTACAAAGAGCATACCTTTGAAAGGATTGTAATAAGTGTCTAGAAACCGCTGATGATGACCATATATGGTGCGAGACATACTGGGAATAGATGTACGTATACACAAGGCGCCTTTCACGTCGTTTCCAGTCAGCTCTCGACCCTGTGACAGTCATTGAACAGACATTGAATTGAAATTTTAAGAGAATAGCAAGGACAGGGATGGCAATGGCAGGAAATAGCAAAGACTGAATCCCTTTTTCGTTCAGTTTTCACTGCCGTATAAGAAACTCCCAATCCATCGTTTGATATGATGTTATTCTACCCCTGAGCCGTTTCTAACATTAACGGAGATTGGATTAGACAGGAGTTTAAATAATGTTTTCCATAAGCGACTGCTGATGATGTAATAGGCGGCTATGCCAGGAAAATGGGCCATAAAGCAAAACCTAAACACGAGAGTAAGCTTGTAGGCTAAACAAACGGCGGTGAGAGGTCTTCTAGGATGAAAGCACCCGAGGTTAGGGTGAGGGTTAGGTTACATTGTGCGCAAAAGGTTTTAAGTGTCGAGAGATAATATATACTTTGCAGAGAGACTATGAGCAGGTTCTCCTTTCCGGCGAAGATAAAAAATCAGAGAAAAAAATTGATAGTAGTGAGCTGCGCGGAACTCTAGGAGTGAGGCTCAGAGTTCTGCGCGGCGTAGTAACCACTCTAAGTTAATTCGCTGATTCTTTTTTTCCTAACTCACACGACGGACTTTGCCGAAAAGGAGGGAATACTCGTAGTCTAACCTCGCAGACTACTCTATCTACGATTTATTTCCAATACCTTCTCATCCAGTAGGACAGGTTCCACACCAAAGAAAGGTCTGGTGGGAAATTCTGGTTTGAGGGGTGAATCATCCGGCGCAGGTCTTGGAGATAGGAGAATACCACCAGTCTCTGCAACACAAAAAACAAAACAAGACGTTTCAAAAATGGTTTACTTGATAATTACACATAAACTAGCTTGTTATTTATTTGTTATCGTTCGTCTATGCATAAAAAGCCTCGGCCAAAGAAAGAGATTGCCCTTCTGGAAATAGCAGAAAGGACAGGATTCTAACCCATACTTCCCAGATACTATTGTAGTTGAGGGGCTACTTCCAACTGAGCTGCGAGCAGAGATAACTTTAGTAGGTTCTTAATTCTCGCACGTGAATCTGATCACAATTAATTGAAATAAGTGAAAAACACGGTAAACTTAATGAAGTGTATTCTCACCTGTCTGCCACCACGTGTCCACGATGGCACATCGCTTCTCCCCAACAACATCGTGATACCAGTACCAAGCCTCCGCATTGATTGGCTCACCAACTGTGTTTTTCAATGAAAAAAATTCACTTGACCAAACCAAGACAAAAGAAAAGAGGTGCGCCTCACCGTGTTAGGTGTGAATCGTTGCTCAAATTTTAAGATTAATTAATGACAGGAAATATATGTTACTATAGATTCAAGAGACCTTAACGATTCACATTCATATTGCTTGGAAAAAATCGTTCCCCTTTCCCTCGCTTTGTTAGGCGTCGCTCCGCGAGCATCTTGTTCCCGCTGTTTATTCGCTGACTTAACGCCTGAAAGAAGCAACTTTTTAAATTGTTTTTCAACAATTTTTTTGTTAAGTGCTGCCGTTCGCTGGTAATCGTGCACCGTTGCCATGCTCCGCTCATACGGCCCGAATTCTATGATCCAAACCCAAGCTGCGGAGCTTGAATTTACACGTCCGACTACCTCAACTCTCCAGAAATTTCATTGTGCCCGAGAATTTAGCCCAGGTAGAGATGATAAGATAACTAACCTGTTCCCAGAAGTTTCAAAGACGACCTGTCATACTTTGTGACATAAGAATTGCTTGATTTCAGTAACAATCTTATTGCAGTCGGTGCGCCGTAGAACTGATTCACCCGCAGTCTCTCCACCATTTCCCAATAGCGTCCTGGGTCTGGATATGTGGGGGTGCTCTCAAACAGAACCGTGGTGGCCCCATTAGATAATGGGCCATATACAACATATGTGTGCCCTGTGATCCAACCAACATCAGCCACACAGCCAAAAATGTCACCAGGGTGGTAATCAAATACATACTAGAAAAAACGTTGTAAAAGCCTAAATTCAACTAGCATAATGGCTTCAGCATGACCTTGGAGTGATAGTGTAATAATGATGCCACATGCTGCATGCCGGGTTTAATTTAGAAATTGGTTTCATTCTATGCTCCATAGCTTAAGGAAAAATATCTGCAACATCAATATGGCTCTAAATCACATTCAGCCAAAACTGAACTCAGCAAAACAGCAACTAAGGATAAGGCTCCTTGAATAAACTCTCTTTAGTTGTAATTTTAACCTTGCTAAAGAACTCACTTGGTGTGACATGTAGGAAAGCAGACTGCAAACAATCCACACAATCCAAAAAATTTCAACTCAAAAGACTCTTTAGGATAAAAGTTTATAATTTACAAAAAGGGATGTCATGAACATCAACTGGAAAATCTTACCTTGTGTGTTAATTTAGCATAGAGAAGGTACCCAGCCTGCGTATGGACCACACCTTTTGGTTGTCCTGTGCTACCAGATGTGTACAATAAGAACAAAATGTCTTCACTATCCATTTCCTCAGGTTCACACTCTGTCGACTGTTTACTCATTTCCTACATGAATAAGGTAACAACAGTTACTATTTGAGATTATTGTTAACAGAAACAGTTTTAATAAGCAGCACAAACAAGATTAGAAGTACAATACTTATTTTATTATTTTTTTTCAAAGACCATGGGGAAGGAGGTAGGAAATTTTGTTGCTACAGTATTTAGGGAAACAGCCAAAATGAAGATGTCATGGCCAGGAGCTCTATCAACTGAGCTAAAAAAGAACACTCATTAATGCAAATTGTCAAATTCAAGCTTAGGGTCTCATTTCTAGTTTACTCTGCTTCACACAGAGTATTCACCATCATTATATCAAACAGAAAGAAGAAAAAAATCCATCTACAGCTATATTAACCAGAAATTTGACCTACATCATTTGCAGGTCAAGCCATATCCATGTGAGAAGCAATCTGAGATTGAGGAATTAACTAAACTTACCTTGATAAAATTACAGTCCCAGCAAAATATTAAATAGGAAAGTTACCTTCTCAAGAGGAATGTCCAGTTTTCCCATAGGAACATTTGCTCCAGTACGGCTGGCAACAAACACTCGCTTTACACATGGACTGGCAGCGACAGCTTTGTCAACCGTCTGTTTTAGCTCACCAACCTTTCCACCTCGCACCACTTGATCTGCTGTGATCACAGTTTCAGCTTTTGCTATGTAACAAAATACATAAAATTACACTTCCCAAAACAACATACCTTCCATGAGAGTCATATCTCAATTGCCTAATTAACTAGAACATAAGTAGCCACATTAGCTACTAAGGGAAAATGAAAATATCACAACAACCTAACAAGTATTCAAAGAAAAAATGAGCAAACTGTTCATGTCCCTGGTAAATGAAATTGACCAAATAGTGATTTAAAAAAAAAAAATTTGCACCCTTGACAAAGTTGAGTAGGGCAATGTTTTTGCCCACTAATTGTGGTATACTTGGCTTAAAAAAGAGAACACAGATTTTCAACTTACCATCATTTATTCTGCTGGCTAAAGCTTCTGAGCTGAACCCAGCAAATACGACACTGCAATTAAAAAAAAGCTTAAATTAGCTTTGCATTAGGACAGGCCAAAGACAGGCAGCCATACGCTTTGTCATTTCTTTTCCTGTCACTGGGCTGGTCTATTTTCTATTTTTTTGTAGTGAATCCTTTTTTTGGCCTCACTACTGCTATCACACCATCCTCCAGCACTACAGTAACTGTACTCTGTTTAACAAACTGAAGGTCCAAGACAGGTAAATACAGAAACTGGATATTTTCATTAATTCATCATAAGTCCATGTTAAGACTTCATAAAATGTCTCTACCTTTTTCAAGTAGATCTGTTTTATGATGTCAGGCAGTAAGCACTAAAATTAATATTACTGCCATAGTTACCTTATTACTGCCTAAAATTCCTTGGAATTCTTAAAAATCCAACAGATAAAAGGGTTGCCCTTCTGGTTTAAAATTTTCTTTTACCTGTCATGCTTCAAAGAAGGGAGATAAGTGTCCCTTAGTAAGTCTTTACCTGTGAGGTGCACCAATTCTTGCACAAGCCAACATGGCAGCAACAGCTAATGGACTGACTGGCATGTAGATACATACAACATCTCCTTTTTTGATTCCATGGCTCTTGAAAACATTTGCCATCTTGTTGACCATTTCATACAACTCTCTGAAAATTAATTAGAACAATTGTTCAACAAATCAGAGGTGAATAAAGTGTTTTTTAAAAAAGCTAAAATGCAGCCAATTAAATATCTGTGGAGGTCAATTTTTTTCATTGGTGAATACAGTAACCACATGCACAGAAAAATATCCATGGAAAGATACTGCTTGATTTCTTGCTTATTTCTTTTTGAGAACATTTCAAGATATGAGTCAAAAAAACAGTGTGGCTAATTTACAATAACTCTTTAACTCCCACGAGCAACCAAGACCGAATTTCTCCTAACAATATCCATACAATAACAAGGAGACAAGTAATGAGAATAAAGAAAAATATCAATAAAGGGGATTATCAGCTGGTCCAATACCAAATTCTCCACACTAACAAGGCAGATTGTAATTGTAATTTTAAGGCAGAGAGTTGGGAGAATACCTGTAAGAGATCCTTTCCACATCCCCGGGTTCATCTTTCTCCCATATCAAGGCACAGCGATCAGGATCTGCCTCCATGTGTCTGTCAACACAGTTTACTAAAAAACACAATTCAAAATAATAAAGGGGGTAAATTTCTAAAGAAACTGTGTGTGGTGCTGTGTCAGGGGGAGAGTATAACAAGGTAATTTGGTATTATCAAGTAAGTTGATAATGTATATTGGCCACAGTAAGGAGTTTCGAAGCTGACGTTTCAAGCATTAGCCCTTCATGAGAGTGAAAATGAATATTACTCTTGCTTTGATTTGGCAGAGTATGCAAGCAAGCACATGAAAAACTTTGCAAGCATTTATGATATGAAATGACACAGGGATATAATAAATAGTGACCTGAGCAGAGGTACTGTAAATTCTCACCAGCTTCTGCTGGTTGATGTAAATCCTAGCCAGCAACAGCTTGAGTTTAACTAAGCTTGCACTAAAATTAAGCGTAACAATAAAATATATTAACCAAGATTTTAAGCTTTGTAGTAGGTAGGTAGGGTTATCCCAAGCATTTATCAGGCTTCCCTGATGATGCACCAGATTCCATTTACCTTCCTGGGTTAAGAGAGGCACTGTGAAAGTAACAAGTTTTGCCCAAGAACACAATACAGTACCTGGTCAAGTCTCAAGCCCACACCTCTCAACACTAAGTCAAGTGCACTCACCATCAGGCCACTGCACAAGGCTTTGGAGTTGTATTCTTAATCTCCAGGGTGACAGTTATATGAGACAAAAGTAACCTTCTTCTTACAACCTCATGCCAGTAATATAGAGGAATCCAACAAAAAAATATCAGAAGAAGCATCAAAATCCAAAAGAGAAGTGCTGCCAATAGATACAGGACAAAATTCTGTCCTTTAATATCCAATTTGTTATGTGAGAAACCAAACATACTGACTCCAGACAAACCCTGCTCTGTTTTGCAAATGGATCCTTTTTTTAATCAAATTCATCCTCTAACCTCCTAGAGTTCACCAGTAATTTTCCCTCCTAACTGCTACACATTTCCATATAAGTGAGGAGATTTTGGTATTATGAACAAATAAGACCCCTAGCATCAGCTGTTCAAAAGTGGATAATGCTATCCACTGGATAAATATCTGCTCAGTGGATAGTGCAGTATGTTTTACTAGCACTTGTCTGTTAGATAACAATTCATCCCTGAGATAACCCTATCTGTCCTTTGAACTAATAGGCCATGGCTGACAAGATTGTTTGTTCTTGTTGAATCTTTGGTTATATATATGGGTATAATGAGGAGATGATAACTCACTTGTCAATTGTGGGAATTAAGGAATTAATAGCAAATTTTACAAAAAAAAAGAAGAATAAAAGCCCTAACCAGGAATGCACCCTTACGCTACCTCTAATTTATGTTAGTCTCTATGAACAAGAATGATCTAACATTAACTAGAAAGTAACCGCCCAATTACCCTCTCCACCCTAAGGAAATATTAATAGGACCTGATCCTAGACATTTCTCACTCAATACTCTCGCTCCAAGAATCTAGCGTACGATTAAGAAAGGTAAAAATCATCAACTATCTCTGTACCTGAAACATTGAGTTTGCCACCTAAAAACCATTTATGCTGGCCCTTTTGCAAATCTACGTCCATAACTGAATCGAAAGGTTTCATCCAATCTAACCGCGTCGCACCAAGCCGTCCCCAGAAAGTTTCGGGATCTTTGATACTCTGCTTATAAAGTTTTTCCCAATCAGAAGTGACATGATCGAGCTGAGGTGGAGTGTAGTCCTCTGTGAAGAAAGAAGACACTCGACGGCACAAGATAGAGGGTATTCTTGTGGGGATTAGCTTTCGTGTGACGGAAAACCCCGCCATCATTTAGAACCTGCAAAATATTGAATGGTTACTCAGGGGTTTAGCGCGTGACATCTGTTGTTTATCTTGAGGTACGCCCGAGCAGCACTAGTGATGACTTTCCGAGTCGGATGATCATCGGAAATTGTCGGCTAATTCCAATATGGCGGACTATTTCAGTAACACCATTTGCGATTTACAAACAGTTTAGCGACGTGATTGAACCAGACAAGAACATTATTACATGCTTTACATGTGATGAATACATTTTAGAGTTTAAATCAAAGAGGTTCGCTCAATTTTGTGCAGCTTGCATACTTAGTCGACTTTGCCCAATTTTTATTGCAGTTTGCTCCACATTTGACTTTTCTGCACTTTTATAATGACGCCAAAAGGTAGTCTTGCTGACGATTTGTATTCTCATGCAAAAAAAAATCCTGTCATATTCCATATATTTATGAACACAGCGTTATACAAGAGAGAGATGATTGAAGAATGTAGTGACTAATGGACTTTCAACCAATAAATTAATTATTAAAAAGCGCTAGCCCAAAAGCCCCCTGTTCTCTTATCCTATAGGCTCCAATAGTAATTGAGTTATGCTTCTTTAAATTTTTACTTTTGATTGTAAACAATTTTCTTGTTTTATTGCAATTCCATTTTTGTGAGACTTCTGTTTCTTACAACAAGGCATTCTGCGTTTTAGGTTATTCCGTCATTCCGCCGTTCCGCCATTCCATACTTTTCCCTTTCACTGTTCACTGTTCACTGTTCACCGTTCACCGTTCACCGTTCCTCTCCGTGAACTGAAAGTATCGTATTTCGTGGCTTGCTCGCAAAAAGAATCGCAAAAACCGGACACTTGTGTCCAAAATAAAAGAAGAGCACACGCCTGTCTGCATTTTTTGGTCAACATTACAAACAAGATCATTTGTATTCATTATGCTAGTAGCATGTCTCTGTTGTTCGTCATTCTTCGCTCCCTCAAATACACATTTATCATTCATCGCTGATTTAAATATTTTATTCGTTATCCATTTTTTAGCATCTACGACGAGACAGGGTCAGTTCTTAATTGGATCGATCTCGACGTAAGCTCTGCTTCTTTCAACAATCAACACAAATAGTTGTGGAATAAATACTAAGAAAAGATAGTAAAGTTGTGGTTGTAATCGTTGTATTTATTTTTCATCGTGGCTTCATGTAGTACTTCTGACAGCCCGATAAAGTCACTCATCATGACTTCTTCGAAACCTTTTCTTTTGATTAGAAATTCAGCGGACTTTCCGCGATTAAAAAATGAAACAAAAAGAAGGATGGTACGGGAAACTACCCTGTAATGTGTTTATTTTTAGCAATAAGGCAAAAATAGAGATAGACATTTTGCGCACCATCTCACAACATTAAGTTGTGACTCATAAACATCTCGATCAAGCGTAGAAGTGTTCTGAGGTTAATTTTCTCTTGACATAATAACAAATGAAAATAAGTTGGTTTTTGCCAAAGTTTCAAATTTGCATCATCGTAATAGTTTTAGCTACTTGAAAGTTCGTAAAGAAGAATTATTACTTCAGACCGGAAACCAAACAGCTCCAAGTTCCGTGTTCATTTACACTTCCGTAAGACTTCAGTAGTAAGAACATTCCAGCAATTTGTTACTAAAAGTTGTTTATCATTTCCATGTTTTGTTTTTTTTTTTCTGTTGTTCTTTTCTCCTTCGGTAATTTGACGATTTGAATTGAATTATTTTCTCTTAGCAATTGAGATTTGATTTAATTTGTAAAAAGAGAGAAATTTAGCGAAAATGACCGGAAGTAGTTGTGAAATTTGGGGAAAGGGGGAAATTATTTTGTCACGTGAGCCAAATATATTACAATTGGTAAACCAATCAGAGGGTCGGAAATAAGATTCGGGGATTGCTACCGAAACCGTCTATGTCGGGCGAACTTTGTGTAATTTCTGCTTTTTCGCTGTTGAAAGCCTTTTAGGCTTCAAAGCGCGGCAAAAATGGTGGAAAATGGCTATGAGAACACGAAACTGATTCACCACGAGCTGAAAAACGGTACAGATTTCGTACAGTTGCTGTAGCGAAGTTAAAATAGTCGGGCATTTTGGTGGTCTGAACATAAACAATTTACTGGTGACGATCAGTTCTGCATAACTTTTTGTTTTTCCCGTAGCTAATTTGACAGCTCATGAAGACGAAAAGGTTGGACTGGAGAATTTTGAGCTTCTCAAAGTTCTTGGAACGGGAGGTAAGGAACACCCGATTTAGTTTCATTCTTTGAGGGATCCTGTTCTGCGCAAAACCTGCGTAAACTCAACTTGCTTGAGTTTTCGTGCTCAACCCCTCGAGGAAATGTTGACTCAATTTTTTTTCTCACGTACAGCATATGGAAAAGTTTTTCTCGTTCGTAAAAGAGGTGGCTACTTCACCGGGAACCTATACGCCATGAAAGTGCTGAAAAAGGCTACGATCGTTCAGAAAGCGAAGACAGCTGAACATACTCGCACTGAGCGACAAGTCCTGGAAGCAGTTCGCCGGTGTCCATTTCTTGTCACATTACACTGGGCTTTTCAAACAGAATCAAAACTACATTTGATAATGGGTAAGTTTAATGTCATTTGTGTAAGTTTCTCTTCGCTTTTTTAGAAGTCTGAAGAAACCCTTCATATCGAGCAAGCGAAATCACGACTTGAGGAATCATTTCCGTCAGGTTTAGAATTTCGTACAATCTTCAAATCGTGTTTTTTTATTTAGCAATGTCACGTTTCTAGAATGGTTCGTGAGTTTGGCGTATTTCTCTGCGAAACTTCCGTGCTTTAGGTTTCGTTTTTAAATAGGCCTTGTAAAGACTTGATTCAATATCGAAATATTAGTAAGCTCAAATCTTCTTCTAAGTTTCATTTAATACAATCATGATATTTGTTATTATTGTGAATCTCGCAGATTATGTGAATGGAGGCGAACTTTTCACCCACTTGTATCAACGAGAGAAGTTCACAGAAGACGAAGTTAGAATATACATTGGAGAAATTATTATTGCTATCGAACATCTTCATAGGGTGAGTAAAACGTTTTATTTAGACTCTTTTTGTCCGGTTTTCGACAAAACCTGTCGGATTTTACGCCTAATTAGATCTCCTCAGCTTCATTGGTCAGAGTTTACAAGGGATATAAATAAAAATAAACAAGGTCCAAAATTGGTGGCTATAATCGTGTATTTTTACGTCCATATTCTTCAAATTTGGTTGTTTGTGTGGGGCATTTTTATTCAGGAGAGTAAACATTGAACGTACACTCTCTGAAAACTCTGACAGATTGCGCAATGTTTCTCTTTCTGCATTATTTTATTGCACGCAATCTATCTAAACAGTAGTTTAGGAAGGTGACCATGCAAACAACTCGTTGACGAGATAAACTAATTTTTGCTTTCAGCTCGGTATAATTTACCGCGACATCAAATTAGAGAACATCTTATTGGACTCTGATGGGCATGTGGTGATCACAGACTTTGGGCTGAGCAAGGAGTTTTCAGCGCCTAACTCGGTAAGCACAACATATTTGGTGTGTTGCAGTTTTCTACCAGTCAAGTAACTTTGGGAATCGAATTTTTTATTAATTGTTTTTAGGGCGAGAGAGCTTATTCATTCTGTGGAACAATTGAGTACATGGCCCCTGAAGTTGTCAAAGGTGGTAGTAGAGGGCATGATAAGGTACAACACAGATCGAATAAAATATTGAAATAAATGTTGTTTTTTTTTTTGTCGAAGTGAGCAATTTAGATTAAAAAGATGGAGTTGATTCTGGTGGGCAGATGTATGTTTTGGGCCCAATTTAGCCTGCAAATTTGTCACAATGTGTGATAAAGTGATGATAAATGTTATTCAAATTGTGGTGGACATGAAATATTTTAAATTAAAAAAAGCTTCAATCAGCACAAAAATCCTATTTGCACTTCCTTTGTCCTTAGTGCTCTGCTTGCAAATTATGTTATAATGTGCAACAGAGTGATCAAAACAATAATTTGAAATATGGTAGACATGAAATATTACTGTAGATTACAAAAAAGTTTCAATTAGGACAAAAATCCCACCATCACTTACTTGGTCCTCCATGTTGTGCTTGTGAATCTCATCATCACACTCACTACCTCAAAGGAAATAGAGGTCAATGTAAACAGTGCATTTACAGAGTCCTTAATCTTCTCCATTACTCTAGTCTCTTTTGAAGAGTAACATAATTAAAAAATAACTTTGTTTGCTCTTAAATATTACCCATTTTTTCTTTTCTTTATCCTTACAGGCAGTGGACTGGTGGAGTCTGGGTGTTCTCATGTATGAATTGCTCACGGGAGCCTCACCTTTTACTGTTGATGGCGAGAAAAATAGTCAGTCTGAGATTTCTAAGTAAGTATAATATGTGGCTGACTGTATTAATTGATGCTTCAAATTATGATTCAGTTACTCAAAGAAATGATCTCCTGGTAACCACAGCATATTGTTCATATATGTCAATGTTTGCTCCAAAATATGGGAGGAGGAGGGGGGAGAGGGTGGGTAGAACTCTTTGAGGCTTACTTTACCCATTTCACTCCCAATTCCCCTTACTGGCTGCTGTACAAGTCTTATGATTTTAATTGTGATAATTTGTCACTGGATCAACTGATAATTGCCTAATTGATATTTCTTGTTATTCTCATCACTTGTCTGCTTGAAATTGTATGGATATTGTAGGGAGAAATTCTGTCCTGGTCAATCAATGCGTGAAAGGGTTAAGTATACTGGAGTGCCTAATCCAAATCCCCTATTGCTCCAATAATTAACCCTAATAATAATTAACATCAGTATGCATTTTCTCTCTACTATTCTCTACACATTTCCTAAGGCACTGACAAGAAGAATATGTGTAAGAATCAAGAGCTCCCGTTTTTGGTGATCATTTATTTTATTCTTGTGACCTTAATTTGTGATGTGGGGGTGATATTGTAAGGAGAAATTAGATGCTAGTCACTCTCAGGGATCATATCATGATTTGATCAGATCAAAGGGTTTACAAAGCTACGGCAAATGTGCTGTGTAACTATGTTAGAAAAAGCCATATGGTACTCCCATGTGAGATGAGACTAGATTTTTTAACTCTAGAATTTCTTTACTCTGTAGACGAATTCTGTATAACAACCCGCCCATGCCAGCAGACATTTCAGGAGATGTTGTGGATTTACTTCTGAAGCTTTTGCAGAAAGATCCAAAAGTGCGACTTGGAGCAAAGGGAGCCCAAGACATAAAGGATCATCCTTTCTTCAAGGTTGATGTAATGCAAAATATTTTCCGTAAATGTTTCGTTATAGCTTCGATTAATTTGTTCAGAGGTTTCCAAAAAGGTTCCTGGCAACCAATCATTTGAATCATTTATTATGGGGCCTTTCCCCTGACTAACTCTGTCACCAAAGCAACATGACAGTCACTTCTCTATGCCTGTAACTCTACAGTAAACTCATTTATTTCATTCCTTTCAAACTAGCTGCCTGGACAGTGGCACCATTATGAGAAAAAAAATTGTGCATGAGTTATGCCAATTAAAAACAGTCGTTAGTGATGAAAGTACTTTCTGATTGGCTACTCAAACTTTACATATCCTTTGCTTTTCACCTCTGAGCAATGTGCACATGATTTGTGCCTGAAAATGTTGTAATTGTAAATCAGTTAAAATCATCTTTTTGTGCTGTATTAATGTTATCTCACTGTCTTAGTATTTACTAAAAACAATTGTTCACCTCAGTGTTGGTGGCCAGTGGCAGATATTTACCTCGCTGCTTTGTGGCTTGGGAAATATCCACTTTTAGCGACCTCAACTTTACTGAAAAGTTCTTTATTATTTACTTGCTTTCATCATTGAATTAATTTAAGGCAATTGATTGGGGGCTGCTGGCTGAGAGGAAGATTGCTGCTCCCTTTAAACCTCGCATTGGATTTGAAACTGATGTGAGTAACTTTGCAGAAGAATTCACAGACATGGTCCCCACATATTCACCAGCAGCCATACCTAAGACTGCGGATAGAATTTTCAAGGTAAGACAGATAGCAAGGCTGTCACAAAGTTTTGAAGCAGCCATTGAATGGGAAATAACCTGTGTAACTTTGTAATACATGCCCAGGTGTAACTAAACAGTGATTGACCTCTTCACTCACAACATCAAGGATACTCAGCTGTAACAGGTGTTACAGCTCACAGCCCTTAGTGATAGCCCTGGATAGGTCACTATTTGGACAGTCTTAAATTGTATGGTCTGTCTTTTAATATGCCTTTGATGATTTAAAAATGGTCAATTTTAAAATGTAATTCCATAAATTAGGTATAAAAATTTGGGATACTTTCTTGCCAATAAAGATAACAATTTTTTTTTTTCAATCTGTGTCAGAGTTTTCCATTGGTGTAATTATTTTGTAGTTAATATCTTGGTGTACTTTGTAGAAGATTATCAACATTACACTACACTGTGGCAAAATTGTACAAAACAAGTAAAATTTTATTGTTACATTCTACTTTTAATATTTTTTTGTCCAGGGTTATTCATTTGTAGCACCCTCAATAATATTTGGAGAAAATGAATTTACCAAGCGTCTGGTGGCAAACAAACCCTCAGAGCACAGACCAGCTCCAGGTGCTGTAGATTATGCAGCTTTATTTGAGGTAACAATTCATTTGTATAATCATGTAGATTAAAATGATTTTAGACAGTTTATTTTCAGTAATTGGTTCTCCTAGGAGAGAAATATTCATGATTTAACAGTGTCATAATTTGGCAAACTGATCTCTCTATCAAATCACTAAGAATACTCTTTCATTTAATGAGATTTTTTCTACTGGTTATTGCAGACTTGGTTTCCATGGATGCAGAACACTATGCTCCGATTTGTATCTCATGGCACTATCATTGTCTAATCTTGATAAATTTTTTCATGGTTTTTTTTGTAACTTTTGAAATAATGTCACAGTGGTTCTCATTTGAAAATTTTATGGTCATTCTTTTTTTCAGGATTCTCCTTTTTTTCGAAACTATGCTATTAGTGATGAAGTTCTTGGTGATGGAAGTTTTTCAACTTGTAGGTAATGTCACACTGGGTTCCTTGCTACATTGATTGCAATCTTTGAAAAGAAAAGCCTGAGCATGGGGCTCCAAGCTCAACTAATTTCAAGCTGCCATTTAACAACCCAAAGTGACAAAATTAAAAAGTACTCATTGGCCACCATTTTTGTTCTGCAATTGAGAAATATAGCTGTCAAGTTTTCTTCAGACCAGAAACATGAAGTAACAGATCTAATCTAATTTTACTTTTATCCAGAAGATTTAGCAAACTAGACAATTAAGTGTGAAAAATGTTATATTCTGAGCTCATATGGAAATCGTGCCTTTGAGTTTAAAATGGTGGGCCATTAAAAAATAATAAAAATATGATATGATAAAAAATATAAAAATGGAAATTACACGTATGTTAGATTAATGTTGGTCAGTGTTTTTTTTTTTTTAGAAAATGTGTCCACATTAGAACTAGGGTTGCATATGCAGTGAAAGTTGTGAGCAGAAGGTGAGTAAAATCTGGTACTTTTCACAGTGTGTTAGACTCACCTTTATGCTTTACTTTTTGATGATAAATAAAGTTGTTATTATTATTATATTTGGCATCAGTGATGGCACAGTAGCTGTGTAGATTGATTATTATGCAAAAGTGTATTTTCCTGTTGTGAAACACGTTGATTAGAGAAACAAGGCTCTTATGAGGGATTCACATCTTAATTTACTGTGTTTTTGCAGGCGTGATCATATCCGGGAAGAACAGTCTCTAAGAATCTGTCAAGGTCATCCTAATATTGTGCGACTGCAGGAGGTGTTTCAAGATGATGTAAGTGCACTCATTTAAACTTTGAACTACAAGGATGTGATTCATACTTTTCCCTATTGACTGTTATACATTTCCAGATCAAGTAATATACAGAATTTGGTCATTCTTTAGTGGATAGATTTGTCCATCCTCATCATGAGTTTTCTACGGCAAACTGGCCATGTATGATTTTGTAAGAGAAGTTAGCATACAATGAAATGTGAAACTACTTCCTTATGTTTTTAGCAGCAAAACTTTTGACCTGATTTTGTCATCTATGTATAAAACAATTTTTTTTTTCATTTGGATGATTTTCTTTAATTTGCAGTTCCATACCTATTTAGTTTTGGAATTACTTGGAGGTGGAGAGCTCTTGGAAAGAATACGGAAAAAGAAAAATTTTTGTGAAGTGGAAGCAAGCAACATAATTAGGAAATTAGCCTCTGCTGTGGAATTCATGCATGGCCGAGGAGTTGTACATAGAGATTTAAAACCTGAGGTGTGTGCTTTAACCCTTCAATCCCTAAGAGTGACAAGGTTCTAATTTTGCCTCACAACATCACCCTGGAATCAATGTTTTAAGTTACAAGAATAAAGGAAATGATCCACAACTGACAAAGTTCTTGATGGATTTACAAATTCTCCCTGTTAGAACCTAGGTATAGTAAAGAGAACAGTATGGAGAATATGCATAAAGATGTTAGGGTGTAAAGGGTGAACTATATCTCATTCTGTGGTGTTTATGAATAAACAGTAGCTTCTACTTGGTGCAAAAATATACTCAGATATTTGTCTTCAGACTTTATTCTTTGATCCTACCTCTAGCTTTTAAACTAGTTATGAGAATTTGGGGAAAGATCAAGATAATAACATCTACTTGATTAGTTTGAGTATTCTCATTACCTGTTCACCAGATAACTTGATACAGTATGGATGTAACAGGGAGAAGTTTCATGATAATCACTCCTGGGAGGTTCAAAGGAAATTTCAAAGCAGAAAAACTGTGAAGAGAGTCATAAATTTAGTTGTTCCTAACAATGATTTTGTTTCTGCACTTGCTTTCTTCAGAACTTACTGTTTGTAGATAATTCAGAGGATGCAGAACTAAAAATTGTGGACTTTGGCTTTGCAAGACTTAAGCCAGAAAATCAACCCTTAAGGACGCCTTGCTTCACGGCAGCTTATGCTGCACCTGAAGTAATCAGCCAAACTATGAACAGAAGTGGCTATGATGAATCATGCGACTTATGGAGTCTTGGAGTTATAATGGTGAGCAGAACAGAAATTGCTCCTGCCAGGTCTTTTGACTGATTAAAAGTTTTTTTTTCAGACAGGGTGTCCTGAAGAATCCTATTTAATATTTAATAAATAATTATGATTATAAAGTTTTACAGGAAAGACAAATTTTTAGCTGGTAACCCTTTAACTCCCATGAGTGACCAAGACAGAATTTCTCCAATACATTATATATAACAATATCAACCAGATAAGTGATGAGAATAAAGAAAAATATCAATTTAGGGACTGATAATTAGTTGATCCAATACTAAATTCTCTGAAATAACATTATAAGAATTGTATGATTGACAGTAAAGAGAATTTGAAATTTGATCTGGGAGTTAAACAGTTAAGCTGCAAATTTGGTACAGAGTTTTCATGACCAGAGTTAGTGTAGATTGGGTGAAGGTTGATGGATCTCATTAAATGGGCTTTTAGCCACAATCTATGATTTCTTAAGGTGTACTTTAACCCTTTCACCTCCAAGATCTTTTTTAGTAATTCTCCTTACATAAATGCAGGGCTAGTGCTCAAAACATCAGCTTAGAAACTCTTTACATTGGCTAATTTATGTAAACTGATCTACTCAGTTGATGATACCAGATTACCTTGTACTTCTCCTTACTCTCTGTCATACCATTTTTACGATGCTCATTGGTATTGGATCAACTAATAACCCCCTAATTAATATTTTTCTTTATTCTCATAATTTGTTTGTATGATATTGTAGTGATTTTGTAAGGAGAAATTCTATCTCGGTCACTCATGGGAGTTAAAGGGTAAATAAAAGTCGTAACTATTGTTATCACTTTGTGTCTGATTTATGAATGAAGTTATAAGATACTTTTCATGTTTTTCACCACAGTACACCATGTTGTCTGGTCAGGTACCATTCCAAAGTAGTCGTAGCTTTAGATCTTCAGATTTCATCATGCAAAGAATAACACATGGTGACATCAGATTTGAAGGGCAGCAGTGGGAGTCGATATCACCAGCTGCAAAAGACCTCATCAAAGGTTTGATGTCAGAGTTTATCAGTTCATTGAAGCTTGATCCTCCTATGCAAGTCATAATATTTTTATTCAGTTTCTCAGGTAGTCATTTATGTAAATAATAGTACTAATTATATCTATCAACTAGCTAGTACATGTATTTTGATTGGTCAATTTAGTGGGCCGCATTTCCCTGTTTGCTCCACTCGTTTTCTCTGTCTGTACTGTTAGTTATGGAACCTTGTTTTTTTTCAATCAGTCTGTAAACCACAGTATATAACTCAAACTTACTTTAAGTAAGAGTTATTTATTAACTGAGTTGGCCATGGGGTACTAGACAGGAATTATTTTTCTTGAAGTCATGAAGTACAGACTGATTGCAGGGTAGCGAAGGTACACCTGCCAAATGTTTTCTTCTCTAACCACACCTGCAACTGTAACTTAGTCAACTTAACAAATAAATTCCAAGTTGCCGTGGGTCTGTTCAGTAATAGATCACAGATGACATCAAAATGGGGTAAGAACAAAAAAGTGGCACACGAGGCGCAGCCGAGTGTGTCACTGATGTTCTTACCACATTTTGACATCCTCTGTGATCTATTACTGAACAGATGCACGGCAACTTGGAATCTATTTGTTTTATATAATAAAGAATTAAAAAAAGTTTTAATGATGATGTCATCTATATGTCTGTCCTCCAATAGATCATAAGTGAGAACCAATCAGAATGCGTGCATAACTGAGCTTATTATATTAAAGTATTTTGACTCATGACTACTTCTCTTTTTGCCTTTTGTCTGGCATTTTTCTATCCAATCATAATACTATAGTTAGCTAAATTTAATGTGTGTGTGTGTCTCTCTCTCTCCTCTTCAGGGCTTTTAACAGTGGATCCAAGCAAGAGATTAAAAATTAGAGAAGTTGTGAACCACGAGTGGCTTAGGGGTGGTACATGTCTGCCCCATACCCCTCTCATGACCCCAGGAATTTTGGGCAAAGGACATAAAAGGACTTACGTGGAGTCTGCATTAAATGTAACATATGATGCTTTTAACAGAGCACATAAGGAGGGATTTACCTTAATGGATGTGCAACAAGCACCACTTGCCAAGAGACGGAAAAAGAACAAGACGACGTCAACAGAGAGTAGGTCTACCACAAGTAGTGATCTAAGCAACAGTGGAGGAACATCCCCCTTATTAAATCCAAGATGACACTGGTCACTCAAATGGTAAATTTTTTTTGAATAATTTCGAACTTGTTACAAATGGAGAAAAACTGTAGATATGGCACACTGTGAGTGATGCAAATACCGTGTAAGAATGAATGAATTGCAGTTTGTATGACTGATAGTATAATTTGTTAATAAAATATTTTAAGAATGATAGCAATATTAAGTTCACTTGGAAAATGTAGTTTGAAGGTGGATGTTAAACAATTTGCTGTTGTGGTGAGAATGAAATTTTATAATTTATTGTGTGATATGAGTTTTTGTAGTGCACAAGGTTGCATTTTAACAATTTTTTTTTAGAAAACACACTCAAATAATTTGCGATACATAATGACAAGATTTTGGGGTACTTTATAATTACTAGTCAGGAATTGGTTGGGGACACAAATTTCTTAAAATTGTAGTGTATATAACAGTAAGTTATTATTTCTTGTAATAGGACTGAAAGTAATGTTGCAATGGCATCCATTGGAATCCTCATTATAATAGTTATTAGTAATACTTGTTCTTATGACTATAAAAGCTCTTGTCAAGATTTTTTTTTCAAATAAATGTTTGGGCACACAGTAGAGCAAAAAATTATATAGAGGTATTGTAGATGACCTGAAAGTTATGACTCACCAACTGGTAGAAATTGCTAGCCTTCTCCCTCTCTTCAGAAGTTCTTGAAATGGAATTCTTACCCTTTCCTGCCCAAGGGAAATGCCAATTTTTTTCTAAAATGAGAGTAATGAACCACTAGATATAGACCATGTATAATATATCATTTTATATTAGTTTTTTGGGGTGCATGCTATAAAGGACACCAACAGATGTAGAGGAGGTAACTGAAAGACTGTCTGAGAAGTGTCCAAAGTGTAGAATAAAAAACCTTGACATTTTTTGTTTGCCTTGTACATGTAGAGTATACCACTAAACTACAGGCTAAATTGCAACCCTCAGAGCATTGATTGTGGTGAGATATCACCTGAACCAAAACAGTGCAAAGACAAAAAGTTCCAAAAGTTGCAGGAGTGGTAAACCAAGTCTTATATTGGAGGGGGCCATGATTTTATGCCTTCAATGTGCAGATCTTTCAATGACCTTTTGGTTGCAAAAATTTCAGAAAAAATGAATAATGCATGTAATGGCATCCTGTGCTATATGGTACTCTTCAGCTGGAAAGGGTTAAGAAACTGAACTGATGTTAAAATAATTGGCATTCATAGATACCCATCTGAGTGTACAGTGATCATAAAAAATTTCTTTTTTCAACACATCCTTCTCTCTTTAACTCCTAAGATCTGATTGTTAATTCTCCCTTCTAGCCACCACATATTTCCTTGTGAATTAGTTACGAGAATTTGATTTTAGATCCAAGTAACAACTTAAGCCTAAGCCTAAGTTTCAGTATATTTATTTCCTGTTTGCAAAATGATGTTTGAATATCATGAGAAGTCACATTAATTTTTAATGACTTTTGGGGGTTAAAGGGTTAAAAAAGCCCTTATTTTATAGCATGCAATTTTGAATTTTTTTTTTATTTTAAGCTTACTTTCCTAATAAGCCATTTTACAGTTGTGTACTTAATTGCCAAGCCTCTGATTTGGAGTGAGGCTGAAGGTGACCTTGTGATAGAGACCAATATCTAGTAAGCATGATAACAAAGTAATTAACATTTGAAAAGCAGCAACATTTTTATCACAACAAGGTCAATCTTAGCAGCCTCACTTCTGTTCAAAGGCATGGCAGACAAGTTGGCAACTGTTAAATGGATTATTATTAATAATGTCTGCAGTCAATTTTTGTAATGAAAATGTTTCTCTCTTCTGGAGCACCAAGTAGCCAGGGTTTTAGATATATTTGGGTAACCCTACTTTGTTAGTTTTTCTGATCACCAAAGTGTTCTTTTTTTATTTGGTAAGGAATTTGACTTCTAGAAAGTTTCTCAGGGAGTTTCACTTTGAGGTGATAATGGGTAATATTGGCCTGTTTATAATTACTTACCTTGTGCTAACAAACAAGATCTGTTTTCACAATCAGTGTCTGTAAAATAAATGCTTGCACTCAGTATTAATAGCAAAAATTGAAATAGGTCTACTGTACTGTAATTAAACAATGGTAGTGGTTAAAATTTTTGTCATTAGGAACACTAATAGTAAGTAACACAAGCTTTTTTACAAACTACATGAATTGCAAATTTTGTTTTGTTTTGTTTTGTTTTGTTTTTCATTACGAGCCTTAAAAGTCTTCCAGATCTTCAGGAAAATTGTTTGAAAGGCTGAAAATCAAGGCAACATTATGTCGCATCACTAGTAAATATTAACTGTTATCGATAATACATAATGGTCTGCATTTTTATGCCAAACGCATGTTTTTTCCTTTTTGTCAGAAGTGTAGCTATTTTAAAGGAGTGAGAACAGACAATGTAAGTATGAGGAAAGACAAGTAAGGTTGGAAAGATAATCGATGTAATTACAGGTAGCACAAGTTGACCAGATTGAATAATAAATGAGGCTTTTAAAAAGTTTCAAAATGTAGACAGAATTTCACTGATTGTTTCCAGACTGATGTTAATTTAACGATTAAGTTGGATGAGCTTGGGTCCTGTTGTACAGAGTAGGAAATGTTATCCAGAATTAGGATAATATTTTAATTCTATTAGTTACATACACTGCAAGACACTTTTGGAATAAAATTTTAACTCTCTCATAACAGCGTTACTTTACAACACTATTCATCTTATTTCAAATCTTTGCAAAAGCAGACTTTAATTTCATCTTACAAACTCCATAAATCTGTGCAGGAAGAGTAGCCACCATCTTGTGTACATATTTCATGGAATTCCAACCACTGCCCTACATTTCCACAGACAGACAACAAAAACATGAATTCTCTACGTAATGGGGGCAGAAAGCTGCTAATGGTAAACAAAGCCCCACATAACCTGGGGAGAAGGAAAGAGGAATGAGGGGTGAGGAGTGAGTACCGTATTTTCCGTTCATTTACCCGCATGGCAGATTGCCCGCATCGGTCAATTTTTGCAATAACGAAAAAGAAATTTCAACAGATTACCCGCACTGGCAGATAACCCGCACCCAAAAACAAGAGGAAATCGTCGACTCGCACAAAGTTCCTTCATTGTTTTTGTTAACATGATACCTTTAGCGTGCAATTAATAAATTTTCATACTTTTTGTCTTTGCTGTTTCATTGAGAATGATACCACTTGTAAAAAAGATCTATAAGTCGAATAAATCCCTTGAAACGGGAAATTAGTCTTTCACTCAAGGCAATGCCAGCTAAGAAATTTCACTTATGCGTCAAAAATTATCTCGCGTCATTAATTATGCGGCGCCACGAAATGAACATGTCGCATCATTTTCCGTGTGAATTGCTCAAATTTTCACAATTAAAGTCTTTTAATATCAAGTTCGCTTCCCGTGTAAGTGAGAATTGTTTTTTGAAATTAAAAAAGAAACAAGCTGTGAAATTGACAAGGTAAGAAAGTAAGAGTACAAATAAGATAAAAGCTTTGAATCGAGTTTTGTATGCTTCAGATTTGCATCAGCTTTCATCGAGAGTATTAAAGTCTCTTATTGTAACCTACAATCTGCACGAAATAGACGAGTTATTACAGAGGTTTTTTAAAGAGTATCTTTAGCGCATCTTATCATTTCTGGTTTTTTCCTGCTTATAGTTTTAAGACTATACCAGAAGCTTTAAAAATTATCGTACTACCCGCACCTTCCTATAACCTGCACTAACAACTGTTTGTGGAAAAATTAACGGATTACCCGCGGTTAATCGTCCTGAAATTGCAGTATTTACTTTGACTAGTGCACTAAGTACATGACAAAGTAGTCTTCTTTCTGGATTTCAACTAAGAATCAAAATGCTACCATAATTTTGACGATGTTGGTACATGTCTGTAATACAAGAACTGATTTACAAATAGATTATTTGAAATCCCTCTTTCCCAGTATAACCTTTGGAGTAAGTCACTAGTTCAGCAGTCATCTGCGAAATTATCATTATTATAGTCTAAGAAAAATTCCTAGTTAGTGTCACATTTGTCCACGTGTCTCACTCCTTTAAGGCACGGTTTTTTGCAAAGAAATTGCCTTTTGCCAATTTTATGACCCCATGCTGAGGATTGCGCTGAAAGAGAGGGACTGCCTCATGGTTCAGATAAACAAGTAATCCTAAATAATAATTTGATTACGTTACTTTTGTGTACACGTAACAAATTTCGAACACATTTTGTACACAATTCAGACTCGTGTCCACTAACAACGTTCCCACTAACAGTGATTCTAGAAGTGCACAATGATTGGTTCATGCCCGGTTGCTTTGACAAATTTCATGAAATCTTCGGGTTTCATGCTTGTTGTTGCTTCGTTAGTCATCGGATGGAAATGCACTTTCTCGTGATTATCCTCCACAAAACTTGCGTCTAGTAAGAACGTGACTTCTTGATGGGTGTCGTTGAACAGAGATAGGGGTGTCACGCAACCCTGTCCGACACCAAGTTTTTCCAACATAACTGCTTCATCTGCAAACCGAAATCCTCCACTTGCTCCGACGTTTTTGGCAAGATCGTTCAAGTTGATCTCGCGAGTCGCCAAAGCCGTGAAGAGCCATAAGCGTTTTTTCTTCTTGTCCTTCAAGAAAAGATTCTTGCTGTGCGCTCCTGGGAGATGGCCGATATACGGCATCATGGCTTCCACGGTGAAAACTGCGGGATGTTCCACCGTTTCTGAAGTGATTCCCAAGTTTTCAAGGTATTCCATGAGTTCTTTCCGTCCACCGGCCATTTCAAAATGTTCCAAATGGAAATGCGAAGGAAAGACGTGTAGAGAAGCAAATTTACCCCTATGTCGTGTAACACAACATTTTGTGTATCATTGGAACTGACTACCATTTCAAGAAGCAGTTTTAGAAAAACAAATGAAAAATTACTAAACTGCACTTATATCTTTAGATCCTCTTCAATACGTGTACTAGGCACGTTCAAAATCTTCTGCAATCATTATTTAAAAACCGTCAACGCCGTTCCCAGCATAAAAGGACATTTTGTTTCACTAAATATGTCAGGGTGTAATACCGCTGACTTATTGAAGTCTTTATCATGGCGCATGAAACAGACGAGAGAAATCTTTGCAATTTCCAAATGTTCTCTCTAGCGCGTCACGCTTAATTGTGTGATGTTATGACGCCCCTTTACAATGAATAGGACTTTAAGAGTTTCTCTAAGGAGCCAGGTAAGAGGAAAAATCGGTGTAGCCGGTACTTTTGCTTAGGGTTAGGGTTAGGGTTACATTGCTTCAGCGTCAGTGGTGGCGAAGAACTGCTCCTGGCAACTTGTCACAATGGAGATCACGGCGAGTTCCACGTGAAGTATTTTGTTTACGGTTTTCTAGATAGATGAAAGCTGGGTCGCATCATGTGAACTCTCTACTGTAAGGGTGATTTGAATGTTTGAACTCTTTGTCGAGTACATTTATGACTGACAATATGATAGAAGCCGGTGAAGCAATATTGTCTTCAGAAAATAATTATGTAACATACTTTCCGTTAAAAAACTCATAGTGGTTATGTCGATTACCTGAGTTCCTCTTGAAAAATAACTCCCTGAATCTTTGTTGAGGAAAAACACCTAAACTTTGTACTGAGAGAAAACTGCAGTTTTAAATGGATGAGGAATGTTTGCTTTTCAGATCATCCACCACATTTGTGGCAAGTACTCCTTGCAGTTCACAAGGCCAGTTACTTGTGTATGGAAGCATATTGAAAAAAGATGTAAACATCAAGATTCTTCAAATGCCTTTAAGGTACCTTTTCTTAATTTTCTGATTTGATAAAACTTTGTCTTTTAACTCCTTCAAACCCATTGCCACATCTTGGAGATCCAGTAGTCTCGCTTTTTTCAGGAAATTAGGGTGGTATTTGTATTTTTACTGAACAGTATTTGTATTAATCTGATTTTTAATATTCATATCCTGTTCCTTTTTCTTTTTTTATGACAGTTTCTGGGCCATGCAAGGACAGCACTCCACAGAAGATGGCAGCATTCCTTACCACAGAAACCTGGTTCACAGGTACACTGTAATTTTTTTACGACCACCCAAAAATTTTATCACATATTATATACCTGTCACTTATTATCTGAAATGCAACATTTGCCGCACAGCCCAGCAATTAAAGGTTCCCAGCATTGCATATATAGTTAACAGAATTGTGTTGTTTAACCCTTTAACTCCTGTGAATGACCAAGACAGAATTTCTCTTTACCATATCAATACAAAATAACGAAATTATCAATTAGGGGACTATTATTTGATTTCAATACCAAATTCTCCAAACAACATCATATGAATTGTATGACAGAGAGTAAGGAGAATCACTAATGAGATCTTGGGGGTGAAAGGGTTAAGGTTTGGAAAGAAACTTTTGGGGAATGTGGTTAACATGGAGTAGAGGTCATGCAGCCCTCAAAAGGGTTATCCACCATCTGAAAATAGTTACAGTTATTTGGATTGTGGGACATTTTACTTCTTATGACAAAATCCATAGTATTACACAATTATGACTCCAGCAACTCAATGTTTCATTTGAAAGTGATGTCTAAAGAGAAGTACATGATAACAGGATTATACATGGATGGTTTGATATTGTTAACACAAAAGTTTAAGGAAAAGACAATCTTTTACCTTGGATTTCAAATTTAAAATATTGGTGAAAGTTTCATGCAGCCATGCAGTTGAACACCAATTATATGATTATTGATGTGTTCTGAAGTAAATTTTTTTTCACTCTTGTCTCAATTTTTCAGTTATATATTGCATTAAGACCAGGTATGACCATTAGACAGCTTGCTGCTGAGATGAGTTGTGATCCAGGTAATGTGCAAATAAAATTTGATATTATTAGTAACAAGTAAATCATTGTCTTCAGATGATTTCAAAATCACATGAATATTACTGAAATCTAACCCTTTAACTCTCATGAGTGGCCAGGACAGAATTTCTCCTTGCAATATCAATATGATATCACACAGTCAAGTGATGAGAATAAAGAAAAATATCAGTTAAGCTACCAGTTTATTAGTTGATCCAATGGCAAATTCTCAGAACTAACATCATAAGAATTGAATGGTAGACAGTATGGAAAATTTACAGGGATTTTGGGAGTGAAAAGGTTAATCCAAATTAATTTGAATGCTTAAACAGGTTCTCTAGCTGACATACTGGTTGAACTTGGCGAAGAATTGCCCAATGGTCTGCTCACAGGTACATGGAAATGTCTTTTCATTGTAGAAAACAGTGAAATATTTTAGAGTCATGTTTTTGTGTATTTTTTGTTTTATTATTAGTAAGTACTTGAAAATTCCAAAACTTAGCTCGTGAAAGAGACAGATTTACTGAACCTTTCAATCCCTAAGAGTGACCAGCATCTAATTTCTCCTTACAGTTGTACACTATAAGTGCAGTATGAATAATTCCCACTGATCATGGAAGTATGTAGGAAGGGATCACCATACTGAGAAGCTTTGATTGTTAACCAAATTCTCTTTGTAAGTACTAGGGAGAATGTACAGCAAAGAGGACAGAGAACACAGATCTGCATTAGGGTGTAATGGGTTATTTAAAGAGACTGAAAAAAGTTCATGTTCTGTGGTATTTTTATGTGCAGTGCTTTCATCAGACCAAGCCGAGTTGTTGGTGATGGAACACAACATGACTCCTGTTCACCGAGATCTCAAAACAGAAACAAGGTCTGAAAAATGGTTGAAAATATGATTCTTGATAGTTAATGATAATAATAAAATAATATCAAGGATCTCAAGTTCCCTTATATTCAAGTTCATCATTTTGACAAGATCCAGTTTTCTTTAGAATTTATATTTACACTGTCAATTGAGTGTATTATGTGCTCAATGCATGTAAAGTGCTTTGTATACATTTATGTTGATTGTGAGTAAAACTTAATATTACTTTCTGTAATGACTGATAATGTTTTTTTCATTTTTTCTTCACTTGAAAAAAAAAAACAGCCATTCCCTTGAATCAAGGCCTCCTGTAGTGACAATTATGGGTCATGTTGACCATGGCAAAACCACTCTACTTGACACACTGAGAAGAACATCAGTAGTGGCTGGGGAGGCTGGAGGAATCACACAACATATTGGTGCTTTCTCAGGTAATAAAAAGAGACTAATACATTGGTGTGCGTAGTTATAGAATTTCTCTTCGAGTGTTGAATTAGGTATCTTGTGGGTGAGGGCAGGAAACAAGTAAGTTATAAAGGTGAACTATCTACAAGTAACCATGCATTATTTTGTTTATGACATAGACACCATGGGCCTATTCTGACCAAAAACGTTGACTTTATTTGCGACAGTTATGGGAAAGTTTTACTAATGTGCAGTGATGGCTTTTCTCAGGGCTGGAAATCCTTGTAAAACACAGCAGTTAATATCGATAATAGCAAAAAGTAGTTTTTATCACTCCTAGTCCTCCTTAAATTGGTCTCTTTAAGCTGTCAGGCTAGCTTCATTCCTATATTAATCCTTTAACTCCCAAGGATCTGATTGTTAATTCTCCCCTCTAGCTGCTACACATTTCTTTGTAAATTAGCTTTGAGATCTTGGTGCTATATCAAGATAGCAGCGTCTACCTGACAAGGTTGAATATTCTCATTACCTGTTTTCTGAAGAATTTGTGGATATTGTAGGGAGAAGTTTTATATTAATCACTTCTGGGAGTTAAAGGGTTAAAGAAGCATATATACAAATAAAAGTAATGTTGCAGGGATATCAAAACAAAGCAGTGATCACCAGAGTTTCGCTGGCTACTTGATAGCATGTCATGGTTACTCTGGTCAAAATAAATACCTTTTGGCCCTGAATGAACTTTTCATAGCTGACTACTTTTGCAGAGTCTACTGCAAAACATTTTGAAACCCTTGTTGTCTTCCTTTTGCAGTCAGCATTAAAGGAACCGACAAGACAATTACATTCATTGATACACCTGGCCATGCTGCATTTGAAACAATGAGGGCCAGGGGGGCTAATGTGACAGACATTGTTGTACTTGTTGTGGCAGCAGATGAAGGTGTGAAGCAGCAGACAGTAGAGTCCATAAGACATGCCACCAGAGCAAAAGGTATGATGTCAGTCAATAGTATTGTTTAAGATTGTGTGCATGTTGCCATCAGATTTTACTTGCTGGTAAAAATATTTCTAGTTACGGAAGGGTGAATTTTAATATTTTTAGTTATGGTAGGTTGAATTTTAATATTCCTTGATACCTCCTAGCCCCGCTTAGAAGGAATCTAACCCTGTACCTGCTAACCCTTTAATTCACACGACTGACCAAGAAAAAGTTTCTCCCTTTACTATCAAATTATCAAATACAACATTAAGCAGACAAGTTATGAGAATAAAGAAAAATGTCAGTTAAAGGGTTATTAGTTGATCCAATCAACTTATAGCAATAAGAATTGCATGGCAGGCAGTAGGAAGAATTACTAAATGAGATGTACTGGTCAAAATTCAACGAAGACTTTCATTCATTTGTATAACTGAATGATTTGGCTGAAATTCATGTAGTCCATGCCTTGAAGTCCTCTGAGACTAGCCACAGGCCAGAGCAGCCAAATTCAGATCACCTTTCTTGGTGTACATGTAGTTTCCATAAATAACTCTTAGCAGTCAAGTTTGCTTTCTGTGTTGCTAAGATACACACCAAGTTTTTTCCACTTGGATAAATGGCCCATGCTCTATTGAGCATGTGGGCCTTAAATCTGAGCTGAAACAACATGTTTCTGTAACATGCAGTACAAAGTAAGAAAACGAGGGTAGTAAGATATGTATTATGATTATGTGCGGGTTCAGATAGAGGGGGGAAGATTTTAATCCAGACAAGTCAAAGCAACTTCTAAATTTAGCAGGCTGTATGATGAAATATAGCCCATTCAGTTGACCAATCATAGTGCAGCACATGCTAACTCAAACTGAGAGATTTAATGATATAATGTATTTCAAGAACTAGATTTGATCCTTAAACATCTCTGAATTCTAAAGTATGATTGTTGATAAGATTGCATTCCATTTGGTTACTGTTCTGTAGAAGACTCCAACATATACCTTTGGTTCATTTCAAAATTATTGAAATGCAGAATGTGAAATTGTAATTATTGTTTTAAATTTAACATAATGCTGATGTTTCTCACCTGCAGTTCCAATAATTGTTGCACTCAATAAAATAGACAAGCCCAGGGTAAATGTGGTATGTTTCTTTCTTATTTTTTATGTAAAATGTGGTATTCTAATCTTTCAGTTGCTGCAAATGAATTAATTAAACCCTTAGCCTCTAAGAGTGACAAGCATCTAATTTCTCTTCACAGTATCATTGCTAAATCAAACATAAAATTCTTGAAAATTAAGGAAGTGATCATCATTTTAAGAAATTGATCCTTTGTTGTCAAACAAATTCTCCTCTTCAGTGCCATTGGAAATATATAGAGAATGGTGTGGAGAAGATGCATATTGATCTTAAGGGTATAGGGTTAAAATGAATGGTTACCGCTATACTAGCATTAATATTGTGGACTGCAGATATTTAACTTACTTCTAACGGTATTTGCAGTAGTTATACTGTAGCATACTTATTTTGAACTAAAAGTGGAAACATCAGGTCCGTTTTGATTTTCCAAAAGAAAATTGCTGACAAGCAGATTCAGATTGGGTTTACTTTTAATTACCTGTTATCAGTAGTTTCCTGTCTAACTTTTGGTGAAAGTTCTACAGACAAACCACAGAGAAAAGAATAATCAGGACAATTAATCCCCAATTACCTTAAAGTGGGTCACTCAATCGACACTAGCCCTACAGTGTAGCACTGACATGTTAGAATGAGAGGGATTTATAGAAAACAGTTTAGAAAGCATTGTGACTGAATGCTTTGGCTGTTAGACTTCAAATCTGGTTTTCCCAGGTTCCAACAGGTTCCTTCTCACTTAATTTTTGTTCTTGGCTGTCCAGCAATGTCAACTTCTTGGCTAAACTTTTTATATAGCCAACTGGTCAGTCTCCTGCCAGTCAGGGTTTTTAAACACTGTTTTATTTACAATGTTTCCAATTTGTTTGTATTGGGCCTGAAAATCCCCACTGGCAGAGTAGTCAAGTAAGTGTACATGACACATGTACACAGTAAATTACAAATCATGGTGAGTTCTTTGTTATCAAATCTGACACAGTCTTTGTTCTATTACTGTTTAAATAATTTTATGCAGGAGCAAGTCAAAAAACAGCTTCTGCAATATGGAATTCAACTAGAGGAGTTTGGAGGGGACATCCAAGCTGTAGCAGTGTCTGCCTTAAATGTATGAATGATTAGTCAGTCAAAATGATAACTAAAAGAATAATTCCACATGCAATGAGTGCATTCTGACCCATAGCACAATGCCTAATGGTCAAGTTATTAATATTTATTAACTTTTATTTAAAAGATAAAGCTTCTTTTAAGGGAGAAGTGCAAATGGAAGGGTAATTCATGAGAAAGAAAAGAAGAAAAAAAAAATCTTTTGGCCAAAATCCTTGGACCCCTGAGAGTGACCAGCATCTAATTTCAGTTGATACAATCTCACCCCTGAATCACACATAGTCACACATGGTCATGAGCATAAAGGAAATGGTTACCAACTGAAGAAGCTCTTTACTTTAACTAAACAAATTCTCCTTTTCAGCACCATAGGAAATGTGTAGAGAACAGTATGGAGAATCTGCATACTGATGTAACAGTGAAAAGGGTTGAAATGAAACCTTAAATTTTAATGATCTACAATCGCGGTTTATTTGATTAACACTTTTATAAGGAAAGTAATCTCTCTTGTGTTGAAGGGAACCAATTTTGATGAACTGCTGGAGGCAATCCACACTCTTGCAGAGTTACAAGATCTAAAAGCCAAAGTAGATGGGCCAGTGGAAGCAATTGTCCTAGAGTCAGGCAAAGACAAAGGAAGGGGGTATGTCTAATTTTTCTTAAAAGTATTTGCAGTAGTTATATTTTATCCTAGTTGACAATTTTCACTATTATATAATAGTGTAAAACAGTTGTGTCTGGAACACCCTTAATTGACTTCAAATAGACTAATTATGAGTGTCTTGGGGAGATTTTGTGTGTTATATATGGCTATCTGTACAGTTGGTTGATTATGGGTGATGAAGGTAGACTCATTTTAATTTAATCATGGACAAATTTTATTTCAGCTCCATTGCAACCATTCTTGTGAATAGTGGAACACTGAGGATAGGTCATATTCTGCTTTGTAATCAAGCATTTGCAAAGGTAAACTTCATGCTGACTTGAGGTTGTTAAAACCTTTCTCTAAATTAAACACATTTGAATAAATAGACTGGAAGAGTATAAGGAACAAGTAAGTTGCCCAGAATATTAAAAAAGTTTTGTTTACAGCAAAAATTTTGGTCATCTCAGAGTATAAGAGTTTCTTCCTACTAAATACAAATAGATATAACAAGATTTTTAGCCTGCAAAATTCCCATGGTAAAAAGTGTTCCCAGTTCAGCCATCATTATGGGTTAGAAATTGTAACTGTAATTTAATGATATCATAATGGAGTTTAATTTTTTTGGACCTCAAGGTACGTCTCATTCTTAATGACCATGGTCAAACTGTGACAGAGGCCATGCCCTCAACTCCAGTAGAAGTAGTGGGTTGGAGGGACACTCCTTCTGCAGGAGATGAGGTCATCCAAGTTGAAACAGAGGTAAATTCTACAGATTTATTAGTTAACTTAACTCTTTCACTCCCGCAGTCTCACTGGTAATTCTCCTTACTGTCTGCTGTACAATTCTGTTGGTGTAAGTTTGGAGAATTTGGTATTACATCATCTAATAAAGCCCTCACTGATATTTTTCTTTATTCTCATCATCTGTTTGCTTGATATTGTATTGATTTGGTAAGGAAAAATCCATCCTGTCATTGTCACTTGTAAGAGATAAAGGATCAGTCAGCAATAATTCAAAAAGCGAAGAGAGCAACAGACAAATTACTAGATTAAAGTAGTTTACTTTTACACAATGTAAGACAACAACTATTTTAAAATACTATTACTTCTGTTAAATCTAAAAGTATAACTTGTTTCAAAGTTAGACACGCCATCTTCATTTCCATAGCTGGAGCTACACCATTCTTGAAACTGTCCTTGGAAATCACTCATTCAACATCCTTCTTACAAAATATGTTTTTAGGAAGAAGCTAGGGATGCTGTAGAGAAGAGAAAGGCAGTACTACGGCAAAGGAAACTGCTTTCAGAAGATGTGCATAATGCCCTTCTGGATGTAGAGCTGAGCTACAGAAAGGAACCAGCTCCCAAGCAGCCTAGCAGTGAATATGACTGTAAAGACAAATTAAATATTATCATTAAAGGTTTGTGCAAAATGATACAGTTGTTAGAATTCAAGGTTAAATGGGCCTGCTAAACATTTTCTCCTTGTCAGCACCTTTAGAAAAGCAAAGAATGTTAGGGGTAAACAGTTAGGATCTCCTAAAAATGATCTGACTGAACTCTTTCCTAGTCAGAGAAAAAAATTATTCTGCTCTTCATTGTTGCGATGCTGTAAATTGATGTGACTGATCATGATATGCATTAATTTAGAGGTCACTGAAAGAAGTGATTCCTTACAACACAAATGTTATTCACAAAATTTGAAATTTATTTTCTTCACAACCTGTAAAACTATATAAATTTACCATCAAGAACATAACTTGTTTGTGAGTACTATGGCCTTGCACTCAAACTTTTATCGTTTACCATATCATCAAATAAAGTTAACTGTTTCAGGTGTAAATACACTATATATACATCATAACAATCAATTTGAGGTCTCTTCTTGAGTAATTGAGAGTGAAGCTGTTGTGGTCAAATTGAATGTGGGTGCAGAGTTGTTGACTTTTCTTCAATCCTTGCCAAACAGGTGATGTTGATGGTTCCTTAGAAGCAATCAGTGATGCTTTAAAAACATACAAATCAAAGATGGTGAAGTTGACAGTTCTATCCAGCCAAGTTGGAACTGTTACTGAAAGTGACATCAAGCTTGCAGAGACTTTTCATGGTAAGAAAACTTAAATCTATTTTCTTTTCTCTGAAACTGCAAATGTTTATTCACAATCTATCTATGTACAAGTCTGTTCACAATTATTCTGGAACATCAAAATTGTTGCAATTGGTGCTGTTGTTGTTGTTGCTTCTGTCGTTGTCAATTTACCATCATTTTCATCATTACTGTCACTATCTTACCTCTCCACCTCATGCCAACTACGTCAAATAGGTAGCAGATGTCCTTCCCCATTCCAGTTCTTAAAAATGTCAATTACAGCACCACATAAATACCTTTCAGACTAAGATTTAGTTGAGATGAACTTATGCTCCAAGCAACTACATTACAGTAACTTACAACCAGGATCAAAAGCCATAAATTAAAGGAATAGTAATTTTAACCTGGTAATGATTTCAGAATCTTTTATTTCCCTCTGTACTTGCAATTAATTACAGGTATAATTTTGGGCTTCAATGTGAAGATTACAAAACAGATGTTGTCTTTGGCTAGACAGCGTGGTGTGGATGTGAAACAGCACAGAATAATTTACAAGCTTTTGGAAGATGTTAAGGTATATCGAATTAGTATGTCATCTCAACTTTCCAGCCAGATTATTATTCTGAAAAGGTTAATATGTAAATGAAATTATCTCATCTGCTATGTTCCACCAATTTTATTAACTCAACTTGGTCCTGGTCTCCCTCTCTCTTTCACTCTGACATTAGTATTGTGCCATTTACTATTTTGCTTCATTTTAATGTAGTGAACACCTGGAACAAGCCACCTATAGCACATGTCTACTGGGTGCAGAACGCATTATAATGCATCTTAAATCACAGTAGCAAAGCAAACAATCTTAAAATTTTAATAGAGAGCACTAAAAAGCTCATAGTATTTTTATTAGAACCCTAAATTCTCTGATGCTGTTAGGTAAATATTTTTGTGCCATTTGTTCTGTTATGGATTTATTGGGTCATTAATCTTACAGTTATAATTATCTTGCATTGCACTTGCAGGCTGAACTAAACAAGAGAATCACTCCTATTCATGAAGAAAGCATTACTGGTGAAGCAGCAGTTCTTAAAGTGTTTAAACTTACTGGCCGACGGAAGGCCACAGTAGCTGGTTGTCAGGTCAAGACTGGGACACTTGATCGCAAGAGTTTGTACAGAATAACAAGGAATAATGAAGTGGTATATGAAGGTGATGTCTTTGATTTGGGTTGATAAAAATAATCTTGTTTTTGTGTAATTGTGTGTATTTTTTGATGATAAAACTGGAAAGGCTCTGATTTCACTTATTTTTCAGCTAGCATACTTATTTCTACTTATATCCTGTCCACAACTTTCAATACTGTTTCCCCTTTTGAAAAGGGTGAGACTTGATGCAAGCAATGTTTTTTCATGAAATCATTTCACCCTAAGCTTGCAACTTAATGATGAATATGTAACTTGCTATATTTGACACAGTTGATGTCAAGCAGCAGAGAACAATTAGACAAAAGAATGATAAAATCAATGAAAGAGATAAGTTTGGCAGTTGGTTTTCTTGTGACATGTTCTGTGTTTTCTCCACAAAAGAGCTGTAACTTTCTCCTGCAATTTCAAAGCTTGTCAAGAGACTGGAGAGGGGATTTGTTTTTCTTATTTTGTACTTTGATGACTTCCTCTTAGAGCTATTGGTTAAAAAGTCCAAAAATAAAGAATCAAATTTGTTTGGCTGTCTTGGTAACTAAATGTTTCTAAACTGACTTTTTTTACCAGGACGACTGGCCTCCATGAAGCATGGTGTTGATGATATAAGCCAAGCTAAAAGGGAAACAGAGTGTGGCTTGTCATTTGAGAAGTTCTTGGAAGTCCAAGAAGGAGATGTGGTTCAATGTTACACTGTGAATGTCATTAAACCAGAAATTGATTGGGATTGGGGTTTCTGATATACCACAAAAAAAAGATAATCTCTTCATGTAAAATACTTATAAATTAATCTTGTCGTGGGCTTTTTAATATCAATGATAGGTGGATTTTACAATGTAATAGGTGGTTAGCTTCAAATTTTATCAAAAATAATGCATCAAGGTTGTATATGATCATTGCGCTTAAGCTGTCTTCCCATTTGTAAAAAAAAATGGAAAACATTTGAGGAATTGTATCCATCAAGAGAAATAAAGCAAGTAAACTTTGAAATTATTATTTAACTTTCTTTGTTCCTCCTTAAAAACAATTTTAATAAAAAATTTTGATCATGGTGAAAATAGTACGGTTGTCATCTCTCATGTTTTTGTCCAACACCGGTGCAGCTCTGTTACCTCAAATTTTAAAAATAAAGGTAAGACCCTCAGGTTTTTTCATGATAATTATTATCTAGTGGTATTGCACATTGTTTATCCCTTTCCAAATGTTTTGTTACATGCAGAAATCATTAGGTCAACTTTTCACCTTAGTCAGAAAAGCTCTTTCTTGTCAAAAAATCAAAAAGGTGGATGTGTTGTGAAATTTTGTTTTTCTTTATGTTTTCTGGGGTATTTAGGCAGAAAAATTGGTCTTTTGTACTGTAATACATAACAGGTTGATGAGCATCTACAGAAGAAAAATCAATAGTTCAAAGACTTTTCAGTTTAAAATTTTACAACTCTTCATGGACCTTGATGTCTGCACAAGAAATGAAACTGTTCAGGGATGCAATGAGTTCATGGGCTTTATTGCCGCACTCGCAGTTCAGTTTTTCCCATTCTTTGGTGCTCATACATCAGACCAAACTTACTATAGTTAACATTGCAAAGAGTGTTGAAAATAACAGGATACCACTACCTATAAGTATAATCAAAATTTTACTTGTTTCAAGGTTGCTCACCAATTTGATTCAATCAAAATTTGTGGCTGTGAATTTAATTTAGAGGTCACTTACAGATTGATTAATTACAACAAAAACGTTATCCACAAAATTTGAAATTGAATTCAATTTTATTTCCTTCACAACCTGTAAAACTACGTTTACCATCAACAACACAAATTGTGTGCGATTACTTTATGGCCTCGCACCCAAACTTTTATAATTTACCATATCAAATAAAGTTAACTATCTCAGACATAAATACACCATACATTGTAATGGTCTGTAAGAGTTGTACATGGTAATAACCAAGACTTCAAGAGGTGACCTTAGTTTTGACACAGACTATAAATCAAACTGATCAGTTTAATATTTATGATAATCACAAAATGTTTGAATTGTGAACTTCACGAAAAGGGATAATGTGAAAAAACTAATGAACCGCCAAAACATAGATAAAAGGAATCAACAAGGAAAATTCTCTTTTGAAATTATAAACCTCTAATTAAATAATGGCATATCAGCTACTTCCAAACAGTGTTTAAATTCAACTAAACACGACAATCAAATAGAGTAATATTATACATCAATGTTTTAAATAATTGCAAGACCACTGACTTACTTATTGTCACATGTAAATATGATAAATACCACTTAAAAATAATATAATTTATATGTTTTCAACCTGACTAGACTTAATTTATTACTTAAACCTAAAAATACAATATCAATAAAAATGAAATTACCGAGTTTTGTATGAGCACACACACGCTTACCCCCCATTCCCCCCCATTAAGGGTTCAACATATACTATTTAATCTCATTTCTCTCTATGCAAAGGGAAAGAGGATGCATGTAGCATGTAGCAGTAGGTTTCTAATTCTCCTAAAACAGCAGAGATTGTATCAATCTCCTTATGAGAAAGTTAACCTTTAAAGCCCTAAGAGTGACAAGCATCTTATTTCTCCGTACAATGTCACCGCTGAATCAAACATTAGGATCACGAGTCAGAATAAAAGAAATGATGACTAATTCAACTGTAGAAGCTCTTGATTGTTGAACAAACTATCTGTGTTAGCACCTTAGGAAATGAGTACAGAACAGTACGGAGAATATGCATACTGGTGTTAGCTTGTAAAGGCTTAAGTAAATTTGGTGTTGAGTCAAAATAGAGACCTCTAGCCAAACTAAACCTCTAAACCCTAATACTGACAAACATCCTCTTTCTCCTTTCAGTAATACTGCTGAATCATTCATTAAGATCATGAGAATAAAAAAACTGATCACAAACCTACAAAGCTGTGATTGTTGAGCCAATTGTCTTTTCCAGTGGAGAAAAGAGTAGGAAAGACTATGGAAAATATTAATATCGATGTTAGAGTGTAAAGGATTCAGCTCATATATACACAATCCTATCACCTTTGAGCAAGTTGAGGAGAAATTCCAAAAAGCCTGACATTAATATTTGACTGGCAAAACAATAACAGAACAACAATTTTTCTAAGGTGCATTGTAGTTAAATATGTATATTCTGTGCATCTTCTATGTAAATAATTATATAGCAAATTTACAAATCCTTTTTTTTGGTCATTAACTAGAATTAAATAATAGTTATAATAGTCACTAGTTCTAACCTTAAAAAACTTGTTGCTCTGTTTGTAATGGTTTTTTGTTATATATTGATTATCTTTTGATTTCAATCTTCCACCACATTTTCTGACTCTTTGAAACCTTTTTTGTACCAGGCAAATGTCGGTAATTATCGTTAGTGTTGAGTAGCCTCCCAGACTTTGGATCAAGTTTTCATTTAGAGGGAGGCAAGTAAAAAATTATGATTAACCCTTTAACTCCCTTGAGTGACCAAGACAGAATTTCTCCTTACAATATCAATACAGTATCAACCAGATAAATGATGAGAATACAGAAAATATCAATTTGGGGATAATTAGTTGATACAATACTAAATTTTCTAAACTAACATTATAAGAATTGTATGGTTGACAGTAAGGAGAATTACAAATTTGATCAGGGAGTTAAAGGGTTAACAAAGAATAGACTTGAAGGATGTTTAAAAATACATTCCAAAGTAAGATTATGTGGTGTTAAAAACCTGTATTTTAACCTGAACAACCAGGAAGACACTTTGGGCATCAACGAGGAAACTGAGCCCTATCATATTTTTTTGATAACTGTTCACTCTTGAAACATTGGCTGTTAACACATGAGCATGGTTTTTGATTGAATGAACACTATGTGGTAAATGTAGCAGCATAACATTCATGAACAAGTAAAACAGACACTATAAATTGAAAAAAAATGCAATTTTACACATCATAGGCTATTGCTAGGCTTGTGGGAGAATTAATCACTCAAATAGAAGTATCATGAATCTACCCAATCATTATTAATAAATTATATAAATACATAAAAAAAAAAACTTACCAACTCTTTTTTCCTCAATTATGGAGGTTAATAATAAAAGCAAATGATTTTGTCATTTAAAGTTCAATAACACTTTCAGATCGGTGAATGAGAGGAGCAGTGTCATTCAGTGAATTAATAGACTCTGAAGGGGAGACTGTTCCAATGACTACATTACCATGAATGCCATCCCTTCTTTCTTCTTCTTCTGTTAACATCATAGCCTGGATTTCTTGTGCATTGGTCTGTTCACTGTTGTTGATCATTTGTTCTGTTCTGACATTTGCAGAAGTATTTTCTTGGCTGCTGTTAGATAAAACCTGCTCTGGGGCTTGAATCCTTCTGCTGTTTTGAAATGCACCAGGACTACCTCTTTGTGGAGAAGAATTAGTTAGGTGCGGTTGAATGAAAGACACCCTGTAGCATGCATTTTCATAAGGAGGTGGAGGAGATGATGGTTCATCTGTTAAGGGGGCATCGCCAGAAGATGAGAGCCTTGAACGCCGTGGTCTTCTAAGGTTGTGTCTTCTTCTTGGTCGTACAGTGCGCTTCCTTCTCAAACGATCTATCATAAACCCAATGCATACAATGGACAGACAAGAACCAGTAATAGAGAGAATGACAATGACGTAGTTGCGTATATCACTACTTGACTGGCTGGTAGGAGTTGGTGTAGGTTTACAGAATAATTCATCTGATGCATCTGTGCAATCATTTGTACCATCGCATTTCCACTGGCATTGGATCCTCTGTCCATTATTGCATGTAAACAACAGTTGCTGGTCAAATAAGCTGCATCCTGCAAAGTGGCTATAGGGATCCATACCATAGTAACTGGCTGAAAAACCATCTCCTTCATTTCGGGAACTTGTTTTTAGTTTTACAAACATCTGTCTACCACTTGAGCGCACCATATCAGTAGGTTTATTATTGACAGTACAGAATTTTCCCAAGGAGGGGTCATCAGAACTGGTACCATCAAACAATTCTACAAAATCATCTCCACAGTCTCCAGAAATTGAAAACATCCCAGTGAAAGAATCGACAGCGAAAAAATCAAAC